AAGTATCGTGTTGTTTTTGACGGTAGACAATTTTTCAAAATACATTCGGCATTAGTGTTGATTAACATAAAGCACATATTTCTCTATAATATACCTATACGGTTCTTATACTTTTATGAGTATATATTTTGTATGTGTTTGAAAAGAATTTCTATAATAATTTATTCTTGCGTATCTTGATGAGTCAATAAGAGTCGGGTTAATAGAAATTTTTTATCATGTCCTTCTAATACTAACTGATTTTTCAACACCTCGACCATATTTTTGTTGGCATCCGATACGGCGTAAAAATAATAAAGTAATAAGATTAGAATAAAAAAACAAGGTATAACAAATCCAGGTGTTCCGAAGAAAAATACAAAATCTTTGACAAATATTGGCATCCTCATGAAAGTCGACAATGGCGCATCCCATACCGTTTTTAGTTCTTTAAAAGGACCACATGACGTAGATGGTGATACTTCAGCAAAGGCATAAGTTAATACAATTACGGAAACAATGAATGATATCAAGAGGACAGACATAAATAGTGAATTAGAGCGCGAAGTTCCATATAATATTTTAGTTGGTTTCGAATTTATGAGACATTGAAACTTTTTTATGTAAAACATTAGAAACATAATTCCTATAATTAAGGCCGGCAAAAAAGGCATATAAAAACTTCCTATCCAGCAAATTGTTTGCAAATATACAATATCCAAAGCATGCTTGGAAAGTTCAAACTCTTGCTCACAAGTAAATTTTACGAAATTGTTATTAAAATATATTGCTAATATAGCACGGGGAAGGTTGAAGCAAAAAGTTACAAACAAATGACTAAAGAAATCTGTTAAAACAAGCTTGTAGAATTGCTGGCCTACAAATGTTTCCCAACATTTATATGGAACAGATTTCGTAACAAGAGTATCCGAGTTTGGTATTACAATATAATAGAACCGGCTTAGTAAAATAAATAAAGAAGCTAATCTTAAAAATATCATGCGGATTAAGCTGATTTTTATCACAAACAAGGGAGAATACTTTTCAAAAGAACACAAATATTTAAAAAAAGCTGGCAGTAAAAGATTTAAAAAAACAATGCAAATATATGGTGCGAAATCAAAGAATAGCTCAAGAAGTTGTATCGAAAGCGCCCCCTCAGCATTAACAGTATCATATGAATTCACTTCTCCATAATTAATATTAAGAAATTTACCATGACCTTGCATCAAGCTCATATTAAAGAGTAAAAATATTACATATGCTGAGAGAATTAATGTAATAATAACAGAAATGTTAATAATAATTCGTATCATAATAAGTTTTAACATATAGTCATTCGAGCGGTTATTTCTTTCAGTTTCAATACGTTTAGAATGAATTGAGCTTTTGAATTCATTAAAGACTGCTTTATGCTTAATAACACTTGATTTCTCATTATGAATGCAAAAGTCCCAACCACCAAAAGCAAGGTTGCAATACTGGTAAAACTGCCATCGGCCATTAATAAGGCGATCTTTAAACTCACGGGCAGATGCTTTTACGATGAAAATTAAAGTAGTTGTAAAGTAACCAAGCACAGCGAATATATAAGCAGAAGATAGGTCGTAATAGAATGAATGTTGCTTTTCATTATAAGTGGAGTTAAGGGTGTCTTTAAACGCAATTCCAACTGATTTATTGGAATATCCTCCATAAAACATCAGTGATATTTCCAGTGCTCCAGTTCCTTGTACTATATCAAGAAGATTAAACGATCCACCGCTCTTTAAATCCATATATGTTTTTTGATCAATATCTTGTGTAAGACAATTATTTGACCGATTTAAGTTTTGTGGTAGCTTACATTTGTCATATTTCTCATATGCCATAATATTTGGAATTATTACAAATATAATTATTAATAGGAATGTAACACAGTTAAGATAAAAAAGCCATCGTAAAAATATAAAGTATGCAGCTACACCACTACCAAAATGTCCCTCGATATCCTTCAAAGATGACTGCCACAATTTAATAATAGTACTAAATTTGGTCCACTCTAAAGCAATTTTTTGCCAAGCTTTGCGATGTTTCCATTTAAGTTGGTTAAATCCTTGCAGACGTAGTTTGGTTGCATTCTAGAATGAAACAAAATTTTTTTTAAAGTAAAAGTAGCATGCAGCTTCAAATTCTAATGCGTGTTTTATAAAATGATATTTAGTAATTCGTATTACATAGCATTTGCGTAACGCAGAAGGTATTTTGTTAGGTTAAGTGAATTGAAGTAAATGAAAATGTACTGCCAGTTCAAAGAAAAATTGAAATTCTTATTTATGCAGATACTGTAAAGTCCTGAAGACTCTGTGAGTCGTTAGGGTCTAATCAAATCGTCAGATACCTAGAGAAACCTACACTGTATTTTATTTTATTATTTTATTTAATGTTGGTGAAAATAATACAAGCAGCGACCAACATCCGGCGTCTGCCGTTGGCACCGATATCATTGGATTTGCAAACGTCGTCACTAGTTAAACTTTCTCTAGAATGGCCATCAGAAAAGGAAAGCCAATTTCAAAAGAATCAACAGCAGGACCGACCCGAGTCTATTTACTGCCCTAGGCAAATACCAAAGATTCCGCCGTTCTAAGCTTATTTTGCGTTAACAACAAAATTTAACAAATTTATAATTTTTGAAAATTCTTTAGGTAATTTTATTTTAAAAAAAGCACTTATATTTTGAATGTTTAACATAATTATTTAAAAAGATTATAATTAGTAGTACAGAAAAAAATATATTTGTGCATTTCATTCGAAAATATGAAACTATGATTTTTGTATATTATATACATATCAAATAAATAAAGCAATTTTGAAAATTATTTAACATTTTAGTTAAATAAAATAAATGAACAAATAAATAAAGTATGTAAAGACAACTAGCCAAAATTTCGCCCTAAAATTATTGCTCCCTAGGCAATTGCTAAACTTGCCTAAATTGCCTGATCAACAGAAAGTGTTAGGCAAAATTAAAATGCTATATTATCTACATATATATATATATATATATATTACAGAGGTTCCAGTAAAAATCCGTAGAGGTATTACGAGTTCACCATGGTATATTCGTAATGAACACATTCACAAAGATCTTTGTATTTCTATGATAAAGAAAGAAGTCGAGGACAGCAGAAACAACTATGAACTTAAACTCCGTAGATATCGAAATCCATTAGCTAATGCCTTGCTACAGTTCTGTAATCAAACCCGCATAAAAAAGAAAGATTTTCCAGCCTTATAAAGAGTAACGTATCACCAAAACTATTGTTAGGCTTTAAACAAGCAGATTAAATAAATAAAGATATACTAACAAAAATGTACATATATATATATATATATATATTACGTGTCACATTGTTTGTCTGGGATAAACTCCTAAACTACTGAACCGATTTAAATAAAATTAAGCACACTGGGTGGTTTGATCCAACTTAAAAGAAAGTTTATATCTGAATTTATAGTCAAAACATTTTTTTATTGCAAATTATTAGTTTATTATATGACATAGGGTTATTCGTATAATTCTAACAAATGATGTTGTAAGTTAATTTATCCGCTGGATTAAGCAGATTGCACTATGTTAAAAGTCAAAACACTTCATATAAAGTAACTTTGCCAAATGGTTGGCGAACGACATAAAACAATATAGAAATAATGTTAGTATTGCGAAAAATACTAATATTCCCTCGAAGCATTGCGCAGAATAATATATATTTTAAAAATTATTTATTTTTCTTACGCTCATTTTCTTTCGGATCTTTTAGTAATATACATACATATAAAAAATAATAAGTTATATATTAAAAAAAAACATGTACCAGGATATATAGAAAAGAATCTAATAATATAAAATTCTTTCATTTAGCAGTTTTCTTCTGTAGCAAATCTGTGGTACTGATAAATTCTAGTATTTGAAATAAGACGCATTTTACCTAATATTTTGCTTACCTGCAAATCCAATTTAAATTCCTTTTTTTGGTGCATTGCTAATGGTAATTGTTTAATTTGAAACATCTCTTCCCATATATGTTCCTCGTCATTAATGACTTGGGATAAGTCAGGGAGCAAAGAAAATTGCCCATCATTTTGTTGATAATTTCTTTGTGTAGTTGAAGGAAACTGTTGCCAGCAAATTTTCTGTTTTCGATCCAGCTGGGTGTAATTCCGCTTTGAAGTGCCTACACGAGCGCAAAAAATATAATAATGGTTATAATTATTAGGTATATTTGTATGTATATACGTGATTATATTAAAATTATTTGATTCTTTCTATTTATGTATAGAAATTAAAATAATTTTGGGCCGATAAGTTATACATAGTAATACAAAAAAGTCCATTCTAACCTAGCCTGTTTTGTTTTGACGGTAGTAAAGTAGTTATTGCTATAGGATTTTTGGCGAAGCCATCCCAATCTGCACAATAATTCTCCTGATAAAACTCGCATCCTGCTTCTTCCCAACCGTTAGTTTTTTTAGTTTTTTGCTTATTTTTAGAAACGTCAGACATTATCAAAACACTAATTAATAACCACAATTATAAAAAAAAATTGTTTGTATTTATTATTGTCGGCGTTGCCGTATAAATTGAAAATGCTGTATTATCATCATTTTTGTGTGTATTTTTATTCCCTTAAAGCTTCGCATGTTACCAGACATTTCGACTGCAACCATTTTCATTTACATTTTTTGCCATTGTTGGGGCACACTCATTTGGTTGTGAAGCCAGAGAATGTTGATGAGATCAACATAATAACAGAGTATGTAAATTATAACCAGAGAATGTTAATAAACAGAGAAGGCGCAAATGTTTATTAACATTCTCTATTGTCACCTTGAATGAATTCGCCTTTGACTTTTATATATTCCTAGAAATATTTACATTTAAAAACTCAAGCAAATGTTGATGATACATATGTATGTATGTATGTTAATTGTCTGCTCGTGTTATCAATTTAACACAAAAACATTAAAACTGGATGAAGTCAAAAAATTTACTAATTGTTTATTTTATACATACATATATTAACAAAATGTACATGTTATACATAGTATACAATTTCAAAACCTAGAAGATTAAAAGAAAAATTAAAGTGTATACATATGTAGGTAAATGTTCGTAACATTTTGTCCTTAGTGAACAACTTTAGCAACCCTAACAGCATGATATTACAAAAACAATTTGAAAAAAAATGTTTATTCCATTTTTTTTATCTGTAATATAATAATAATCCGAGTAATTTTCCAAAACATGTATATATTTTTATTAATTTATGTACATTTGTATGTTAATGTTTACGCACTATTTATATATTTTTTTATCATGTCTTCAAGTTTTTTAGAATCTTGAGCAAACTTTCTTATACCTTCAGAAAGCTTTTCTGTTGCCATAGCATCTTCATTAAGCAACCAACGGAATGTTGCTTCATCAATATTAATTTTTTCAATATCCGTAGATTTGGCCCTCTTTATTGATAACTGCTCGTTAATAGGCTCATCATCATCCTCAAGATCTTTCAACAAAGCAGGGCTGATTGTTAAATAGTCACAACCAGCTAATGCTTTAATTTCTCCAATGTTTCTAAAGGATGCACCCATAACAACTGTTTTATAATCATATTTTTTATAGTAATTGTAGATTTGGGTAACCGATATGACTCCTGGGTCCTTCTCCGGTTCAAAGCTTTTAGTATGGGTATTAGCAACATACCAATCTAAAATACGCCCAACAAAAGGTGATATAAGAGTAACTCCAGCATCAGCGCATGCCACAGCTTGAGCAAAAGAAAACAGTAGAGTTAAATTGCAATGAATGTTATGCTTTTCTTCTAAAATTTTTGCTGCTTGTATGCCTTCCCATGTAGATGCAATTTTTATAAGAACTCGGTCTTTTTGAATTCCCATATGTTCGTATAATTGTATTAACTTCAATGCCTTTGCGATGCTTTTTTTTGTATCAAATGATAAACGAGCATCGATTTCAGTTGAAACTCTTCCTGGTATAATTTTTAAAATTTCGCAACCGAACAGCACGCCTAAGTAATCAATTGCTTCCTGAACCTTTTCATTTACTGTGCTGAAAAAAAATTAAATTTTAATGTATTATAAAAAAAATTTAATTTATATTTACTTTCCAACTTTGGATCCATATTTAATAGCTTCCTTTAGTATATGGTCGTATTGATCCATTTTAGCCGCAGACAACAATAACGATGGATTTGTAGTGGCATCAGTAGGTTTATACAATTTCATAGCTAAAAAATATAATAAGTATAGTTAGACCGTCATTCTTCTAGTTATATGGTGTTAGTTAGTTTAATAGATACATCGGCTACTAAATTTGCAATAACTTATAGATGTATTATTAAACATAAGATTTCACCTCGAAGGGCAATGTCAAACATTCTAATATATACCATAATATCAAAAAGTACACTATAAAAAACGAACAAAAACTTAGGACAAATCCGAGACCTTGACTATTCTAACCTCATTTAGTTCAAATATATAGTATTTGTTCTCAAAAGCAAGGACATTTAGCATCTAGAATATATTGGTACATACATATGTAGGTAAATATTTTTTTAAGTTATGGATAAAACTAGTGCAATGGAGCTGTCATCATTAACCTTCTGATACGATGACAATTGTTAAACCTGCTTGCCATTCACTTGACATTCAGCTGACTTTGCTTTAACTTTAGAGTTTGTACTGATAAGCTACATAAACCACTACATATTGTTGCTGTAAAAAGAAAGTACAGTAATTACCTTCGAAATCTCCTGTATCAGCTACAACAACAGTGATTTCCTTCAACTGATCTAGAGTAGACAATTTTTGTTTCTTCGTTATTCCTTCCATTTTGAATACAAACTAAGACTTTGAAACTCCGCTTGTTAATGACAAACTAGAAACTGTTCTCTACGTTCACTCGTTCAGAGCGGAAATGCCGCAATGGAAATATAACCAAGCAAAGAAGTTATCACCAGCGATGCCACGTTTGTCGAAACCTTATTTATTGTTAAGGCATTAGAAGTGTTTTACGCAAATTAAGCCTTGACTGTCAACTTAATTATATATTAAAAAAAATATTGTATTTGTCTATAATTTGAATGGAATTTTATGACTGTTACAAAATATGATTTCAATATATTGCGATTAGGACAAGAATTCAAATAAATTACTAATTTATTAGAAAGTTTTATATCACATATCTTTATTTAAAAAAATGATCACTGAGCTGGAAAATTACTCGATCCAATTCCGAATCATATTAGAAGAGTATTAGAGACTACGCGCGTGACAATAAATATACATTGTCGTTGCCGGTTTAAAAAAAATCACATTATCTCACAAATATATAAAATGCTAAGCCGAAAAATGTAAAATGTAAGTTGTAATTAGAAAGAAAGAATTTCTTTAACCATTCAAAAACTTCTTCTTCTTAGTTTTTTAAAGCAATTAATTTTGTAATATTTTGTAGATTAAGAGTTAGAAAGCACATATGGACACTTTGTATAACAAGCAAAAGAAGTTTTTACAGAAATTAAAACGCAATTTCATTGCCATTAAAATTTTAATAATTACTGAAAAAACGCAGTAATCAGGTAATATCTAGTTACAATTAAGTTTAATCTTTATTCCCAATAAAGGTTTACTGACTACTAAATAAAATCCAGTAACAACTATTGGCTTTTATTGATAAATTTCACTAATAAATATTTTTAGCGGATAATTTGACGAATATTAGCTATTTCGCTTAGAACAAGAGTGAATAATGTATTACTGATCTTATAATGCAATGTGTCTACTGTCTAGATATTAAATCAGCAATCACACAAACAACCCAGAATGTGTTAGGTCGATAATAAATAGTAAACAGCACAATACCAAATAATGTTTATAGCAAGGTAATTATTCAAAATCTAATTTGTTTAATAAGTTTGGGTTTGAAGCCAATTCGTCTAAAGCGGGATCCGCGTATTCTAGTATATTAAAATCATCTCCAATTTCTGCCGTTAAAGATTTTAAGAGATCATCGTCATTTCCATCTCCCAAACCACCCAAAATATCTCCAAAAGCCCCATTTTCATCAGAGTCCAGTTTTTCAAGCTCAGGCTCTCCACTTTCTGTTGATTTTATATCTTTACGGTTTTTAAAAACTTGCTTATTTTCATTACAACTAGGTTGTTCCAATTGAACAGCTTCAAACGGTTTAATAGTTTTTGACTCATCAACCAAAATATTTTTGCTTTCATTTGAGGTAGGCATCAAATCACTTGATAAAGAGCGTTGATACAAACTGTTAGGAGAATTGTGGGGTGCTGTGTTCGAAATCCAAGGATCTGTTGTTGCAGCTCTTAGTTGTTGTTCCTTTAAAAGCAATGTTCTTAGGTGTTTGTTTTCAGACTGTTTATCTATTTACAAGAAAATGAAAACAATCATACGAAAAAATGAATTAAGTAATTAAAAAATCATGAAGTGGGATAAATAAAAATATAAAAATACCGAATTACAAATATATCACATGACTTAATTACCGTGTTTTTCTTTTGAAACCAGTTGTGGCTGCGTCCTTTTATGCAAGGAGTCTCCATTGTATATTATTTCTCGCTTGTCTATTGGACACATTTCATATGTTCCATTTAAATCAAATGAATACCCTAAAACAAAAATATATTATTGTAAACTTGAATTGTAAACCATCAATTTTTCAACAACAAACCTCTGTTATTATAATTGACACTGTTTTGCGATTCCTTAGCTTTTGCTTGATGTTGTTTCCATATACGTTCTTGTTCTTGCTCTTTTAAGGACTTTTGATTAAAACATATTCTTTCCTGGTCCTAATCAACAAGTTTATAAATTCAGAATATTCACTGAAAATATTATAAAAGTGTGTATAAAATGTTGATACCTGCTGTGATCGCCGTATTCTATGAGCCGATCTGTTATCTTTTGCTTGCTGAAGAAATGGAGCTTTTTTCTCATTAGAAAGAGATCGCCATCTTTTTAGAATCTGTTTACACCGATCGTTCCAGTTTGGATACATCTGTTTTAGCTCAGGATGCTGAGTATTAGCATAAAGTACAGCCGATATTGTTGCTGTTTTCCCCAAATCTAAAATATAGGATAACATTTCTAAAGTCCAACTAAACTCGTAAAATAAATGTAAAAGTAAAGATATATCTATTTCATTTAAGAGAAATAGCGCATCTTAGCGCAAAAAGTGAATGTATACACCGCTCGAAATTAGTTTACACTATTCATAATTTCTCCTAAGATAACTGGACTTGGGCTTGCTCTTGGTGTTTTGTATTTTACCTATTTTATAAAGCTTTGTTAAAAAAGTGGCATTTGTTTTATATCCAGCATTTGTAGTTTGCGGATGGGCAATAAGAAAATGTAATGACATGTCAAATTTTAATAAATATTTTCTATAAAGTTTAATAAGCAGTTATCGAAATGTTTAAGGGAAAAAAGTGTAATACAAAAATTACAAATGGGGACGAAATGCCATTCTTGGTCAACGGATACTAACATAAGTCTTGTATATTTGAAGTCAATAAAATACATACCTTCATCTCGTCTCATCTTTTCAGCTGTTTTTTGTGTCCCAGCCGAATCAAGTTGTGGCGGAGTAGTTTTAAGTTGTGAATTTTGCAATTGTTGAGCAAATTGGTTATGAGGAATTATCGAATTTTCAGAAGCAGGACTTTCAACTACACATGTTGTATTCTGCAGTGGCACATGTATCGGCAATATTTGAATTTGGGGTGGTTGTTCCAGAATTTGTTTAGGAGATTGCGAAATAAAAGGCACATTTGCTTCATTTTCGTTTAAATTATTAACCAGTAAATTAGTCTCCTCCGTTTGCTTTGAGACCGCCATCGATCTAAAACGAACAAACAAAACAACATATGTACGTAAACAGATATTTTCAAAAAAGGCATTTTTTATTTTAAAATGTTTATGTATAATTACCTGAAATCAATACCTCGTTGAGTTTCTGAATATATTAGTTTCATTGCGAGGTCATCGGGAGTAGAAATCACCTTAACAAAATTAAAAAATAAGATGAGTAAAAACCAAACATAATATATAAAAATAAATTTAGTAACGAATCTGGAAAATAATTCAAATATATAATAACATACTCACTTGGCCTTTAACATTAGAAGTGGAGGTCGATCTACCTGATTCATTAGATAAATCCGTAAAGAATATTGCTGTTAATTATATTTTGAAATCTATTGTAATAATGGTAAACTCAAGTAAATTAAAAATTATTTACCTGGCTTGACTTCATCGACTTTTGAGTTAGCTTTTTTTGATTCCACAAATTTTGACGATGTTATTATGCCGCTGTTGGAAATTTCATGCATTGAAATTGTATTAGCGGCATTCAAAGCTTCAATTCCATTTCCAATTGTTACGCTTTCATCCACATCTTTACATTTTATTTTGATATTTGAAGTTAATGTGGAAATCGCGTTGTTTTGTTCTTCATTAGTATTTGCAGGTAATGTTGGAACACTTTTGCTCATTGAAGCAGGCGATTCTTCAGAAAATAGAGCATCAATTAGCTCCATTTGTTCGTCGGATATGTCAGAATCTTCAACCGGTAACTGGCTTTTAGTTTTCATTTCAAGTAATGATTTACCAAAAAATGCCTCTTGCAAGTACACTGGATAAGATTCACTCAACCGACTTTTAACTTTTTTTCGAACGGCTTTCTTTCTTTTTTCTGAATCGGTATAGCTACAATTATTAGAATTGTTTGATGCTTCGTCTTTTTTAATAGCACGATTCCGCACACTGAATCCACCAATACCAATTTTTTGTAAATTCCGTTGACGTTTTTTCCGTAATATTGCGATTCCATCATCATTCGTAGAAATCGAAAATCCTTCAGGTGGATTGTTATCGGCACCTGTCCAAACCATTCCGTCCTTGTAATGATCTGTGTCCCTCTTTTTTAATGAGTCTGTGTCAATGTTGTCTTCTATCGGAACATTGTTATTTGATCCAGCAACAACGGACTCTATAGCTGCTAATATTCCAGACTCTTTATTTTGTGAATCATTGGGAGTACGCACTTTACGTTTTTTCTTTATGTCTGTCGACAATGCTTTAATCATATTAGCACCTCTTTCGCTCATACTAACACCATCTACCCAAAATGTAGTTTCTGTGTCGTTATTTGATGAGATTATAGTGTCAGTGCTTAATGGTATTGTTTTAATAATTTTTGATGTTTTTGAAGATAAAAATTGAGCAAACGATTTGTCCTTGGGCCGACATAGAATGCAATGATATTCTATATTATCACATATTTGGGCTTCCTCTTCAGTATTTATAGAATCACAGCGACAATGTAACCAACGTTCACAATTTTTACACTGGATAATAAGCTCACCATCATTATATCGTTGACCGCAAAATGAACACATTTCTTGGCTTGAACATTGACCACATTCCATAATACCATTAGTGAATGTATTACGGCTTTGTTGGCTTACTCCGGGAGAAAATCGACCACATTTTTGGCAAGCAGCACACCACTTACATTTCCAATTTCCATGCGGAACTGTTTCTAAGGGAGGACTCACACAGTATATATGATATGATAAGTCGCATTCGTCACAAAGGATTAGTCTCGCCTCATCGTTCCTTTGACCACAGCTCTCGCATACAGTACAATCAAGACACCTCCAACCCCTTTCTAAAATCACGTTCGATATTTTTGTGTTAACACAATAAGGATGATAACATTGACCACATTGTGCACAAGCAATAAGACTGCTTTCCTTTTCAATTCCAGCAGATCCACACATTACACACAAATCTTGCGACAAAAGAAATTTGTCCTTTGCAGAACACAGTAATATTTTCCTTTCCATAGACAGGCAATCTTCTGAGGATTTATTCGAGGTTAATAATCTTTCACCATTTGAAGTTAAATTGATATTATTTAATAAAAGATGTCGTCCTTTACCGCGTACAGAATTACGTTTTCGCCCGAGATGTGTCAAAATATTACTCTTTTGCCCCATTAATTTCCCACCTCGACCGCGATATAATATTTTTTTTCTGAATATTTTGGATGAATGAGATTCTGTTAAAATAAAATCACCTCCACAATTATTTTGAAAATTTTCTATGTCCATTTCCTTAATAAAATTGTCATCTATTCCTTGAGGCAATGTAATTCCTTCTCCGGAGCGATTTGAATTACATTGATTTGTTATAATCTTCTCGCTCATTGGCAATAACTTACATTGAGGGCATATATAATCATAATCAGGATTATTTTCTTTCTTTTTATGATAAGTAATCAAGTCGGCATCTTCGTCACATGTGCTATGTACAAACCTATTAATCATGAAAAACATTAAATCATTCAACGTAAATTCGTGAATTTATTTACCTATGACAAAAATTGCATTTAACCATTTCCTTGTGGGCGGAAGCTCTATAAGCTTTGTGACAGATAGGACAAGAAAATCCTTTATTACGTTGCTGGTAACACGAATCACAAATTGTGTAATGACAGTGCCATCGAGATGAGGTTCCACCCCCAGGAGTTCTTGAACCACAGTCAGTACAAACCCGGCAACGCTTAAAGTTCATAATTATAACATTTTTGTTGAATTTTACTTGTGAACACATTTTTCATATCTATATAAAACTCATACTTACATTGCACTTCCAGCCATATTTTGGCAAAGATGAAATCGTGGGTCGTAAACAGGTATTATGGTATAATCGTTGGCACTGTTCACATTTAATGAAACGTCCTTCGGAACCGTCACTCTCTCTACATATCTGACATTTACGGCAATTGGGGCAATTCCAACCCGCTCGAGTTTCTAAAGATCCAAGATCAACATATTAATTCTTAAACGACCTTTGTGCACATACATATATATTAGGATGGAGCAATAAAAAAAATTTGCTTATCCTGAGGGTAAAATTTGTAGATTATAAAAAAAGGAAATTTTTGGACAAAAAAAATTTTTTTAACATCTAGAGGTTTAAAGTAAATTTTCGAGTTAAAATTTTTATTTCGTAAAAAAATTTTATTAAGTGTTCTAGAAGCTGTGGAGAGTCCTCTTTCTGGCCAATTAAAAGTTATCAACTTAAAAATATTTTTTGTGGTCATTATTGGAGTTTAAAAAAAGTCTTAAACAACATGCTTTCCTTAAGCGTCAAAATAAATTTTGAGTCAAAACCCGTCACATCGGTAATTTTTATGTTGCCTAAAAAAAATTTTAACTCGAAATTTACTTTAAAACTTAGTAAGCAGCCACTCGATGTTAAAAAAAAATTTTTTTGTCCAAAAATTTTATTTTTTTTAATCTACAGATTTTACCCTCAGACTAAGCAAAAAAAAATTTTTTTTTGGATCCACCCTAATATATTTTAAAATTTATTATTAGGGGTTTTAATTGCATAATTACGCTATTTCCGACTTTTCGATTACGATTTACTCTAACTTATTTAAATATCAAATGTGTGTATATACATATATATATAAAGCCTCACCTGGAGTATTTATTAGACCAACACAATTGGTATGAAAATGTTCACCACAAGTGGCGCACATAATCATTTTTGCCATATTATCCATGGAGGAGCAGTTTTGGCACGTGATATTAGCATCTGGGCCTGTTAATATAAGATTGAATTCACATTTCATATTTTTTGTTGTTGGTATATATTGTAGAAACATTGAAAGTTTACATTAAAATTTTAATGAGAACAGGTTTTAATAGAAGTGCCTGGGAATAATATAGAATCTGATTTAAGTTTAAATAAATTAATGAAAATATAAATTGATAAAAATGTACTAGACCGGTGAGTTTTCAAAAGTACATAATACAATCAACTGTAACAACGATATGTAACGATAAAAGAGATAGATATAAGTCTGTAGTATTTAATGTTGTTGTAGCGGCAGAATTCTGCCGAGTTGACAGTCCTTGCCGGAATAAATCCAGGTCCGTTCCGGTTACGTAGACCCGACTGTCGTGGAAACACGTGTAGTATTAAATCACTACATTTTTGTTTCATCTAAGATTGGGTATTCATTTTAGTAAGTAATTATAATGACTTTCACTTTATAAAAAATAACATACAATAATTTTTTATAAAAAATACTCTTATTTAAATATTATATGTTTTAATTTTTATTTTGTTTAATTGTTTAAATTTATTAATTTTTATGCAGCAAAGATTTTAATTTTCATTAAATACTTACATATAACCATTACTTGTTCAATGTGATCCAAGCAAAAAACCATAAAATTATCCATGATTTGAAAGCTAGCTGATGCTGCAGCGCACGGCAAATGAAACACTTTTGTACAACTCAATTTACATGTGATACTTGCTCCATACTGTCCACAAAAAGAGCATTTTTGCGAGAGACTTTTGGCAATTATGAACTCTATGTTCGACTTAATTTCATTCGTTTTTCCATATACGCCTTGTGACCACATAAGACACATGCGATGCAAATATAAATAAGAACCATCTAAAATTGTATTAAGAGACATCTTTTCCGAATGTCCTATTTTGTCTAGTTCGTTGATACAATTATTTTGAAATATTTTTCCTCTGCAATTACTTTTTTGTCGACGGAATGAAACTTGGTCTATAGTGGTATGCCTTAAGGTTTCATCGATTTTAGAATTAGTTTCCATGTAGAATTGAATAGCCTTTTCGCAGTTATCCGGATCCACCTCCCATCGTAAAAAGTCTCCTTGCCCCAATGCACTTTTTTCATCAAGATTACATAAACAACATATTTTTCCAGGATATTCAATAGTTGAAATTTCATCCATATTTGTTATTGTTTTATCTTCAGGATATCCAGTATTAGAACTTTCAGATGACGACAATGGCGCGATAGAAAGATTAGTACGATCACTACATTGGACATGATCCCCTAAGTTTTTTCGCTTCACATTGCCCTTTTGTTGAGGCAAATCTTTCCTAGGCCTCCCGGGACCTCGTTTCGAATTATTTGATTTATTTTCCATTCCTGCCATAAGCGCCGAAAATGTGTCTCCATTATCAGAAGATGCTTGTAAAAATAATTGTGTTTGAAAAGTGGCTTCGTCATTGCCATTGGCTGGAGATGATCTGTTCGAATTTGGAGTAGAAAGAGCACCTGTAAAACAAATTGGACTGTTTAAAAACTTGCAGAATGAGAGATTCAATTAATTGATGCCAGCAAATAAACACTTTTTGACAAAAATTTATTAACTATACATACCTATGTATGTACTTTATTTTTTATTTATCTTTCTTAAAAATATGTTTAGTAATAGGATGGTAACAACAATAATAAAGATAGTGGGTTTATATTTTCTTATCCTGCTTACCAGGAGGGAATGGTTGCAATGAATCCAAATCAGTTTCTTCACATACTAGATCTAGGTCCATTATACTTTGTTTAATTATTTACCATTAGCCCAACTTTATTTGTTATGTTAGTAACACCGATGTAAGTGTATTTAATCACTTTTGAAGAGGAACATTTTGGAAAAAGAACAATACAGAAATGGAAATATTTTAGGTTTACATTTTTTATATTTGTGAGCGAAAGCAAATTAATTACACAAAACTTGGCTAATTTAATATTTTCTTTTACGGCGGAAAGCTAAATAAATAAAAATAAAAAAAATTTGCAATACTACAAGGTATATATTTTATTTTGGACAAAGTGGCTGGAACAGAAGTTAGTAGTGCAAACCCAAAGTTATATGAACTCTTTCTAGGATGAGTACTATTCGTGTAACTGTATTATCTATGTAAACACATTTCAATTGTTCCTTTCCTACACAACACATTCCTATTTCAAATAGCTTATTTAAAAAATCTCATAGTGTATACTACAAGTAATATTTCCAAAAAACGACGCCTTTACCATATAAGGCGTGAGTTCAGTTTTGAGTTCGTATGTGTGTTTCTTGCTTAATCATTTCCCTTTTTATAAGCATTTTGAGTACACATATTTGTTGGCTGGACGTAGGTTGGATATGACTAAACATACATGATATTAATAGATTTTTTATACATTATTGAAATTAGTTACTAGAAGCAGCTAGTTTTTCTTTTAAATATATTATTAACGAACTTAAAAAGTTTTGTACAAATTTTCAAAGCAGTATTGTACTTACCTATTATATTCTATAAATACATATGTTACTGACTAGATGGTAAACATGTTAAGATGAAATCCTATTTTAAAAATAGCCCTTTATTTACTTCTTTTTTTAATTTTTTTTTTTTTATTTCTACTACAAATACAAAAAAGTAGAACACTGTAGTATATTTATTGACGATCTGTGGCGCGTAATTTCTCTTCGACTGCTTCTCTAGAGGCTTCGGAAAGGTCAGTAGCTTGAATATATTTTTGTACACCCACTAAAGATTTCTTCAACGCATCAAATGAACTTGAGTACAACATCTTCTTCTTAACCTAAAAAAATTTAATTCCACCGATTTTTGTTTTTTGTTTCATTTTTGCTCCAATAAATATTTACCTTAGCGGTGTCCGGGCACCAAGACATTAGGAAAAGTTTCTGCTTTTTTGAGCTTTCCGAAGTTCCTTGACATTGATGCATATATTCAAAATCAAACAGACCATAACTAAAAAACACGTCGATTAAATTATGAAAACAGTTATAAATAAAATTACAACTAACCGGCATTCTCCCGTACCACATTTTTGGATGTCTTCAAGAAATTGGTCGTATTCAGCATTTCGGTCGCCAACTGTTTCAACATCAATTTGTTTCTCGTCTCGTATATAAAAAATTACATAGCGATGTTTTTTATCCTTTTTAATTTCTTCGTATGTGGTTTTACAAACATCTGACACGGTTACACCAGAAGCCTTAAATTAATAAATATAATATATAGCAGATTTCAAATTGTTTATAAATGCATATATGTATGTGGGTGTATAGAAATTAACATATATATTGTGAAAGTGCTAGGCAAATGTTTAATACAAACGGCACACAAACCATTTCAAATGCATATACAAGAACGCGGTTTGAATATGAAACTTTCTTTATTTTTCTCATATTTTTAGTTAATTGTATAGATACCTACTAACTTATCTATATTTCAAACATTGAATGGAACAAACTGTACTATACTTTCCTATCAATTGTTAATTTTAAGTATTAGAATAAGGCTTATACATAAAAATAGACGAAAATGTATATGTACATGCCTACCAATGCATCTCAGTTCCAATTATTTATTATTCTTATTAATAAGAATAAGTCCCCATTTTTATTTAGTTTTTTTAATTTGCAAATTTAAAACAAATTTGTTACAAATGACCTCTTCCCAAGGTCGTGGAAAATTGAATTATGCACTTTCTGATCAAATGGCGATAAATCATTTTGATTGTCCATTTTTTTTAATCATCGCTGAAGAATGTATTTGATCACTCTTTGAAATTATACTTTAGTATAAATATATATATATATACAAGTATATATATAGCTCATTATTTTTTCATCGCCAACGTATAGCAGAATGAATCATTTACTCATACCAACGCAAAACTATTGCCGCATATACATTCGTTTTACAATAAATTATATTCCCCACCACTTTTCACTGACAAATTTATATCAAAAATTAATTAAAGAAATTTATCGATGTTAGTTAAAATTGATCATATTTTTCTAATTCAATGGTGTATTGAACAATATATTTATATATATAATAAAAATACTCTTAGTTGATATACTCGTTCCGGCTTTTTGCCTTACCGGAGGAGACAAGCTTTGGCACATATACCGACAAAATTTTCACACAAGATATTAAATTTCAATTTCCATAACGAGGTTGCTTTATGATTATTCCTTTGCAGAGTTATACAATTATAATATTCTCTTTGATATTTATATTTTATTTAAAAATAATATAGTCAGACATACCATTTTCTTGAGTTATATGCAAAAAGCTTTGAAAAACGTTTGATCCAATTGCACCAACTGCTTTTTCAGAACGTACAAATGTACACACGAATGCCAAATGGGTATATGTGCATGAGTTATCCAAAATTCATGATTACCATGTTCTTCACAAAAAGGGTGTTTCCATTCCATTTTCTCCCGTTTCACAGCGACACTTACCATTACTAAAAATCGATAAATTCAAGCTACTTACCCAGAGGCTACATTTCCTAAAATCCAATAGTTGTTACCAATTATCATAATATTGCAATTTGAAAGTATCAAAACTATCTGATGTTGCTGCTTCGTCGATTCTTAATTTAAAATATACAAATATAGCCACAAATAATATCTCATACTGAAATATATTAATTATTTAATGGTTGTGATCAAGTGACCAAACAATGAGCGCAAAAAGATGACATTTGCCCAAAAATGTTGCTTCGTTTTATTGCATCGAACTTATCTGTCAAAAGAAATGTTTGAGGCAAAAGTTGTTTGTGAATCAACCATAAGAAATCCTTTGCTTTGTTATGATGCTAACGTATGGACTGGCAATCGAAATGAGGAAAATAAAGGCTATAAGGAATAACGACCACACGTAAACAAGAGTTTCGAGTAGTTTGGTCAAATTTTAGAAAGATACACGTTATCCATCTTTTCTCAATCTCGTTTTTTCGTCATCTGAAATTATCGAACAACTTGGCTGAGGTCATAACAAGGATTTCTTAATTATCGAGTGCTAAAATTTGTGCCTTCAACTCAATGTCTGAAATTTGTTATGACTTCGTATATCCCAGGGAATTCTCCGTCATACGTGCGGTAATTTCTCTCAGCAGACAAAGGTTTAAAAAAAAATTTTTTATAAATATATATATATACGTTTGCTTGGCAAAGCGTAAAAAGATGATGACTGATGGACATAGAACTTTTGCTTCGCTTTTTGTCAGACATTTGTATTGACTGAAAAGTTCGATGTATGCTTTTGTATAAGTACGCTCACATCGAAGCGAAACGCAGGAAGGCGTGGTTGTCGCCTAAGGGACTAGTGCCATCGGTGGGAATGACCGATGTGCATTAAAATAATAATTGCATCGATAGTAAAATGCCAATTATATGTATGTTAATTGACGCTTTTCTAAAAAATTCTCAACCAACCTTTAGAGTATTATCATCGATAAAGTAATGATTATTAGACGGTTATTTCAAACTTTTATGTTATTATAATCGGAAACATGTTATAATAACTATAAGTAAATTTTGCAGCGATATATAATGGCGACATTACAAGTAATATAATTTTGTTAAGGGATTCTTCTCAATTTTACTGTCCGAATTTCGATGTATATATGGAACTATTTTAAAAATATCAGGGCACATATACGGAGGCAACCATTTAGAACAAAATAGCTTAATATTGGCTAAATCCGGATTTGATTCTGTTTTAATAACACATACAGCGCAAATGCTCACATTCCAGCGTGGGTGATGAACACCTACAACTGCCACATCTTTTATTTTGGGGTGGGTTTTTAATAGTGTTTCTATTTCATCACTTGAAATATTTCGTCCAGCTCTTTTAAGAACTGTGCTGTTAACACGTCCCAGCAACCTAAAGGTATTATTTTCAAACTCCACAATCATTCCTGTTTTAAAAAAGTTGTTTTCAAAATATACTTCCGTATCTTCTTGATGTAGATATCCTTTAAAAATAGTTTGCCCCGATACATGAAGTTCCCCTAAAAAGTTTTTAAATCTGGTATTGAAAGATACAATTTGTACGGCATTATCAACTCCTCCTTTTTCTGAATTTCCAATTGCAGATGCAATTATTGTTTTATCTTTAGAATTGACAATCCTAATCATGATTTGAGGAAACAGTATGTTAAATGAGTTTTGCTTCCGCTTCCGCCATTTATCTTCGATATATGGATTACCTAAAATTGCTCCGGTTTCGGGTGTTTCATAATACCGTAGAAGTTTATGACCTGTCACTTTATACCAATAATAGAAAATGTTCATTGGTAAGGGGGTTGATCCAGATATCATTAGTCGAATATTAAGCTGACAATAGTTTTTAATATATTCAACCATCCTACGATTATTATAAAATGCTTTGGCATATACTCTGAGGATTTTGGTATACGTTGAAGGCAATGCTGTCAGCATATTGGGTTTATCGTTTATTAGCATATTTATACCAAGTATTATATTCCATACTTTGTCGTAATTGATATTATTGCAGAAATCTATTTTTCCACCAACACTTAGCAAGCACATCATAGAATGTACGCTGTAAATATTGAATTCTACCGGCAACAAGTTTAGCAAAACGTCATTTGATTTATAATCCCACGCTTCTGATGTTACTTTAATACGCGAGAGAAGGTTTTTATGTGTTATTTGACATCCTTTTGGCTTTTTGGCTGCAGTGTTATTATAAACCAACATTGCAACCGAACAAGAATAGAAGTCGTTATTTAAAGTGCCTTCTATAAAAACATTACTGCCGACCGTAAGTATAGTCTTTTTCAAAAAGCGATGATTTATACTGTGTTCTGGTATAAAATGGTAATCAATAATAATTAGTGGTATATCAAACATTGTAGCAAGCTTTTTAGCTATCTTTTCATAGAGTTTTCCTGAAATTATTATTTTTGATTTGGAGTCACCAATAATAAAACTTAGTGTTTCAAGTGGAAATTTATGTAGAAGTGGCACAAAAACTTGTCCAGACATCCAACAACCCCATTGCGTTAATGGTAACAAAGCGTTATTTTCACAAAAAACTGCAATATTGCATGATGCTCCACTACCTTGGAATGAAAGCAATAGGTTAACACATATTTTGCTAACATGTTGTAAATTTGGTGATACATTACCTATAACTATATAATTTTATATAACTGTTATTAACGTACCACATATGTTCGATATTTGAACGGATAACTTTTTTGAGCCTAAATATAGTTGTTGGTAAGAATATTCAGTATCATTACTTTTAATAGCAATATGATCTGCATGTAACAACACTTTTTTGAAAATAGGCACCGCACCACCATTTTGCTCTTCTTTTCTAAAATATTCTTTCAAATTTGTAAGGTGTTCAAATATCTGAGGAAAAATAATAAAATACATTTTAAAATGCTCTTAACATATTGCAATCAGTATAATAGTTTTGCTAATAAGGTTGTGTGTCAAACGATTAAAAATGTTGAGACGATCAACGGTCATTTTTAGAAAAAAATCTGAAAGATGACTAAAACACGCTTTCACAATGTCCGGTTAAGGTCCAACTGTTTGTTAGATTAAGCATAATTTAAGTTGATTTAAAAAATATCATGGTATTTAGTTATTGTACTAACCAAAATTTAAAAACAAATATAGTAGAGTTGAATAATTACATATACAGTTTGGAAAATACACTATCACGGTTTAAAACTCAACAACATTTCTGTTAAAATTACTAAAATCAGTATTATTGATAACTCAAACTGCCAAAATTTTTAATTTGATTTTATTGGTATTTAATAAACTTTTTCAAACTATCTTTTAATTAGTAATTTGAACTTTTAAACTCCCAAGCATCAATTGAAAGGTTTAATGCAGATTCTTGCTTCCGTTTGAATAAGGAAGTATTCAGTTTCTTTGCGTGTGGAAAACTGGTTTATTTGACTTTTTCGTGCGTGTGCGTTTTAACTTTTCATTTTACAATTGTATTATACATATTATTGGGCTATAGAAATGCACCTCATTTATTAATTTTAAAAATTAACTATGACGAAGGCCAAATTTAAAGTCAAGAAACCGAATAAATTCCTACCTTTATATTTGTTGAAATATTTTTTGTCACTATTATTCGCGAATATATATATTTAAACGCAATAGAACTTTTTGTTGCAAGCATCATTAAAAATATGAAGTAAAATTCATAGAGTTCCTTCTTCTTTGGTTTTTATAGGGTGAGGCATAAAAATACAAAGTATTCTAATGTGAATATTTTTACAATTGTAGCCGCAATATCTTCATAAACTTTTATTTAACCTTTTTCATTATTTGAGAATGCATCGACTATATTTTTAGTATGAACAATGAAATTTTGAATAGTACGAAAACATCCATGCAAGTACATTCGACTAGGTCATAACTCTGTAACTGCGTATATTTACAAATTAAAAATTCTTTCCCACACAATACATAATTGGCGTTAAAAATATTGTATACTAACTATGATTGAAATAATTGCTTATTTCATTGCTAATTTCTTTATTTGTGACTTCTCTGATTAGATAAAAACGCTAAGTGGCCTTTAGGGCATTTATTTGCATAGTGCCCTTTATTTCCACATTTATAGCAAGTGATTTCATCTAAAGGCTTTGGTACCTTTGTAAAGTTATTGCTTGACGAAACATGCTCAGTTCCATTTTTACCTTCTGTGTTTTCTTTAAAGCTATACGCTTGATTTTGTTTTTGGAAGCCATTAAATTTGAAACGGTTTTCAATACTTTCGTTAGCATCGGGATTTTTTTTACACGCCGAAGCTTTATGTCCAAGTTCCCCACAAAAGTGGCAAGTTGGCACCTTTTTAAGCAAAATTTCTTTTGTCGTATCTGAAATTGGTGGCAGTTCGAAGCGGGGATGCATAAATTTACAATTCCAACCATTTTCACAAAAGCCTGCCAAGTAATTACTACAAAGTACACGACGTACGTGACGATGTCTGCAATGCGGTCCGTGTCTACAAAAGCCCCGATCATACCATGGACAATCTTTTACTTTACTTTCCGGATCAATATGAAGGAAGGGACATTCCTTATTATGACACGCATTAAATCGAGAGTAAAAGTAACATTCTGGCATTTTTTTCATATCATATTCATGTAAGAATTCACATTGATCTCCTTTTTTACATAATCCTCTTAGCCAGTGCTTGCACACTATAGTTCTATCTCCTCTTATATGTCGAAAGGGACAGGATGAGCCTTTCTCACACTCCAAACCATTTTGAGTACTCACAAACTGACAAACGGCAGCCATGGATTCTAAAAAAAAAAAAATTAGTTAACACTTATGATTAGTGTTTAAATACTTACTGTCCATTCCGAAAAATGGTAAAGCAACAGCACCAATTTGTTCAATTAAATCCCGTTCAATTTTAAAATCTATGTTATTAACATTTGCGAGTAAAATTTCCATTTTTGCGATTGAATATTTAGATAGGCCAGCGACGAAGTAAACATTTCTTTTACTGAATGAGATGCCACTAGGAACTAATAAAAAATTGTATCGAAATAATTCTGCCATATTATGACTACTACGACCAATAATAAATACATATATGAAGTTAAACCTACGTTATTTAAGTAATATATCATTGATTAACTGAAAAAAGGGTAATATCTGTTTGTTTATATTTCGCTGATTAACAATCTTGCAGTTACATAAATTAATCAAATATTTTTATTCAATGAGAACACGTTTCCTTCAAATCACCCTGTGAAATGTTTCTTAAAATGCTTATTCTCTCTATTTGTTACAGTGCTAATCATAAAAGCTCCTTCCAAACATTTCCTTAAGTATAGCTCATGCACTTTGCAAAAATTGAAAGCGAGTTTACTCGAAGAAAGCGTTTTTTGCTACATTTCCATATTTTATTTATTTTATTTTTACAAATTGTGACTTCTTCTTAATGTCAGTAGATTTGGAAAACAAATTGTGCAAAAATGTCTGTACATTATAAATTCAAAAGTGCACTAGACTTTGACACCGTCACATTTGACGGTCTTAATATTTCAGTTGGAGATCTAAAAAAGGCAATAATACATCAAAAGCGTTTGGGAAAAGTGACAGATTTTGATCTACAAATAACAAATGCTCAAACTAAAGAAGGTTTGTATTGTAATAGCTGGATCTTTTGATAAATTTTTACTAAACAACAAAATATTTCAAGATATTAAAATTAGCGATAAAATTAGATTTATATTTTGAAGGAATTGCTTGTTCCTAGTAGTTGGCGTTATATACTGGTTACATCAGATAACGATATAACAACATTCACTGAAAAACTACTAATTTACCTAAAAAAAACTCAATAAAAAATTTGCCGTATGTACTTTCAATTATTTATGGCCTGAAAAAAAGTACGTGAGAAGTTGGACACAGCTAATATTATAATGTCCACTGAAAAATCTATCCTCAACAGTTGACCGTTTCCACGATAGGCTGTTCAACGTAATTAGAGCTGGATTTTAATCTGATCCACTGGCTATTAAATGCATATAAATTTTATGCAGCAACCAAATATTATTTTTACATTTATAGACTTCATGCCTAAATAATATGTTACAATTTCTTCAAGAATACCAAGATGATTCTGCTTTAATTCCTAAGAACACATCACTTATTATCGCGAGAATTCCAATATCTCAACAAAAAAAGGCGTGGAATACCCAAAGTATAGAAAAAACACAACAATCTCGAGCAATATCACGAGATGCAAATTCTTTAGACTTGTCAAAAATGAAGGGCAGTGAAGAAGAGAAAATTTTTGAAATGATGCTTCAAAGTACCGCTGATTACGACCCAAAAAGGTAAGAGGAAGATGTAAATGTAATAATTTATTTCTTTACATTAATTACTGCACGAGTTAAAAAACCTTTACCCGATATAAATTTGTTTATTATGTTATTATACTCTAAACAGGGTATATATTAAGTTTGCCACTATGTTTGTAAAACCTCCTCCAATTGTCTGTATATACGCGATCTAGTATATTTATAAATGATCAGGTTGAAGATCCGAGTTTGTCCGTTCGTACATCTGCCTATAGAATATAATTGCCTTACAAACCAACTGACCCGTTCCCACGATAGTCGGGTCTAAGTAACCGGAATGGACGCAGGTTTTTATCCCAAGGACTTTCAGCTAGCCACGATTCCCCGAAATTACTTCAGAAATGTTTTCTGCGGCTCCAATAACAACAATTAATCAAAAAAACTCTTGTTCAAAAATTTCTCATGGTTTATGTCTGATGAAAACTTTTTTATTTGTGGAGGGTATTCTTGCTTCAGTGCAACCGAAGTTAACATTCTTTCTTGTTTTTTTATATTTTCAACAAAAATAAAATAAAACATTCGTTACCAATCTGTTACATATTAAAAATAAATATCAATTTCAATTTTGTAGACTACTTCACATTGATATATTTACTATTATGCCTACATTTAAATTATTTTACAGTTACCATAGAATAAGAGGGCACTCTCAAATTGGTGATGTTCCTCCTACATATCGATGTAACAGATGCAAAAAATCGGGGCACTGGATAAAAAATTGCCCTTACACTTTAGGCAAGGAACATAGCGACATCAAAAGAAATACGGGCATACCTAGATCATTTCTTGATAAGGATGATAAGTAAGCAATAATATATGTATCTCATTATGCAGTTATAGTTATAGTATATATTCAACAACTGTTTTATCGTTTTTCTTCTGAATCAAAGAGTGCAAAACTAAACGAGTTTAAATGTCATAATATGTACCATAAGTACAAAGGACATTAAAGTATGACATTCGAAGAATGTTGTATAAAATTTTTATGTGAAAAAAATATAATTGCGGTATCTCCTTGGTTTAGTACGGGATCATCGGAAATCAAAAAAATCAAAGCTCATTTGTTAGTAACGTTGATAGTGTTTTTAGAAACTTAAATTTTTAATTTTTTTGGATCATTTTGAAGAGAAAAACGCAATTTTAAACCGCATATGACTGCGATTATTGCCAAAGCACAAGCCCCGCGAAACTTACGATAAAACGGAATCATCACAACATAAAGAGAAATTAAAATCAGTAGAAAGTTCTTGAACTCGCCACATTTTGTTATCGATATGTATCAATCAGTACTTTAGTTCTTATAAGGAGAATAAGTTGTTCAAAATATTGCCTGAATATATGTCCGCATTTCTTAGATAAAAGGTTACGTGTCCTCGATGACAACACTTGGTTATCTCATCTTAAACAGGTTTAGACATTCACATCGGGCAAAAATTTTCCATATGGAATTGTACGAAACCTTCACTGTATATTTATCTGAATATCTATATACTTATACATACGTTCCCTTACTAATTCAAATAAACTATTTTCTTTTAAATATTATAAGTTATTTTGTGGGGTTTCACAATCATTTCAGAGAAACATCTGCCGATTTCCCAGAGCCGACAGTGTCAATTGAGAAAAAAAAAGGAAATACCGGATGACTTAATATGCAGCATTTGTAAAGATCTTTTTGTTGATGCTGTTATGATTCCTTGTTGTGGGAGTTCATTTTGTGATGACTGTAAGATAATAACTAAATAATATTATTTCTTCTACAAATATTAATATTTTAGGTGTACGCAGTGCACTGCTCGAATCTGAAGATAATGAGTGCCCAGATTGTAAGGAAAAGGGATGTTCACCTGGTTCGTTGATTCCAAACCGATTTTTACGAAATTCAGTAAATGCGTTTAAAAATGAAAATGGCTATACAAATATAAAATCCAAAAAAGGTATTTTTTTTACAAAATAAAATCAATTATGTAAACAATTATCAATGCGTCGATTTTTTTTTAAATCTTTGAAGAAAAATCCAATCAAGAAGAAATTACATCAACGAAGGTGAAAGTTATTGCTGCTGATATTAGCAAGTTGGAAGAAGACCAAACAGAAATTGTCACTCCAAAGGAAACACTGAAATCTGACGATGGGTCACAAGTCAAAGTTGTTGAAAACAGTTCAAAGACTGAGACAACAAAAGCTGAAGAGGTGGAGTCAGATTACGAGGATAACATCACTATAATGATGCCTCCAGTGCAGGTTAAGAACTTAAATTCGGGAGCAATTGAACTTAGTGGGCGTAGTGTTAGCCATCCAAAACCCCCGGGTATAGAAAACTCACCACATCATAAGCTGCAGGTAACTCTTTCTCTAATTTCGATACATACCTTATGTACAAACTTATTTATAAGTTGCAATACAAATATTCTGGGTGACCCTGTAACACTAAGCTCAAAGGAGGTGAATACCAGGATGCGATACAAGATTATCGATTTGATACATATACCTATCAAATTTATTTAATGAATAGTGCAGTATGTATATTGCAATTAAATATTACTATGAAATACATACTTAATATTTATGTAATATTTAAATAATCAATTTAGGTCCTTAAGTTTTAGTACAAAAAATACAACAAAAAAAGGAATTTCACAAAACTTATCTATTTAGAAAACCTGATCTGCTTTTGTTGCACGAATTAATTACACATAGTTTTAATAAATTACAACTAGTTAAGTTTGACTTCATAATTTTTATATAGAAACACACATTCAAATTAATACATATTCTTTAACAATAAAGTAGAATATTTCATATGTAATATACAAATTTATTTTTAAAAAATCTGTGTATAATTTGTATGTAACATCCACAGAATTTCGGGACTGGCATGCATATAAATATTTACTTTCGAGTCCTTGAGTACAAATATGTATAACAAAATATTTTTTGATCTCATCAAATACAATCATTATGTCTACAATGATAAAGCTACCAGATGTGAACCCACTATAATAATACCAAAGCTTTTATGTTTAATATAATTTTAGTTATGTAAAAGATTAATATTTTCAAATCACAGAAGATGACTATCCGTTATACTTTAAATATAAATGATCAATTATTTGGCTTTAATTAAAAAATATATAAATTAGCAATGACTGATGCATGGTGTATTTATCAGAGTACTGATAAAGAACGTTTATTTTCTTTGACGAAAATCTTATATTTCTGTAAGAAAGGATACAAATTTCAAAAATTTTAAGGTTGTAGAACGTTTTCATCGTAACTAGTCGTTGTTTGTGCTAAGCCCTACTGAATATATTGATATTATGTATTAAAATTTAAATTCTGCTAAAAACAACCGGAGATATTGTTTTATTGTATTGATTACTTGACTTATTATAATCCGTGAAAATTCGCTCTATACGCTAAAAAAAGGGATACAAATAAATCATCCAGCAAGACTGACACAACCGTGAAATCAAATGAACGAGTGGAGATGTTGTACGGCATGTGGGACACATCCTTAGTGGTATAATTGAATTTCTTGGTTTTGCTGATAAGCTATTAAAAATGTATAAAAAAGAAATCAAAAAAATGTGCATGTGTACTAATTTATTGATACAAATAATTATAATAATACATTTATTTCTAGGTGTCACCTTCAGATAGCCATAAGAGAGATAATCACCTTGGCTTAGATACTCAAAGTAACGAATGGGATCAAGATTACAAATTAGAAAGGGATTATGCAGAAGAAGATGCGAACGGTAACGTCTTTTATAAGAATTCTACAACGAAACAGCATACGCAACCTATAAATGCACCACTGCATTACGGACCAAATAAGATTCAATTACGTCCACCTAGACCGAATCATTTAATGGACGTTTATTCAGCTCCGTCAAATAGAGCTAATACTTATCAGCAGATCCCACTTCCGCATGTAATTGGCCAAGATACAATAGTTCAAGGGCAACCTATGCTCCCATTTGGACTATACAATCCCATGGGGCCTAGGCCAAATGTTACGTACGTATTACAATTTCAATATATGTATATCGTATTTTCGATTTAGAGTGCAAAATTGCTAAGTAATTTTTTTGTCGAATATCACTGGACACTAAAAATAATTTGATTCCAAATTCAGAAATTGTTTGAAAGTACATTTCTTTAAACATGTATCACAATGGATTTAGAACTTTTGCACTCTCATTCAATTATACGCAAGCAGAACATATTTATTCGTAAATATTTTACCGAATATATCTTGAAGTCCATAACTATACAATTTATATTTTAGTTATCAACATTCTGTTCGATCGATGTTTCATAACGCTCCTCCTGGCTTCCCACCAATCAGATGTCCACCAGCTGAGATTCATCATGCCAACAGTAATCTTGCTTCTGTTTATCAGGGTGTAGCAGCTAAAGTTGGTACTGGGTAAATATGACTGAAAAAACAAAAATCCTGAAGAACAAATTATCTTAATTGTTTCAATTAACTTTTAGGATAATTGAAGATCCACTTGAAACATTTAACCGACTCATGAAAGAAAAAGAACGCAGAAGAGAAGATCGCCGTCGTTCAATGGAACGTCGCCGGTCTTGGTCTAATGAAAGGCACAATCGTGGGCGAGTTCATGCGTCACCGTATCGCAGAATTTCTCGTGAAGTCAAGGAGAAACTTAGACCACATGATACAGAGAGAAAGCGCGATAACGGATTTGATCGTAATAAGTCGAATAGAAGGAGACGATCTAACTCGTTTAGTGATAAAAGCTCCAGGTATATTTTGCTATATGTAAACAATTTAAGTAACTTGTAACCTTTTTTTTTTATAATAGATCCAGATCTTGGTCTAAATCGCCAATAAAAAAACGTTCCAGGTCTCCTTATAATAAACGTTCTCGTAGCCGCACTCATATATTTCAAGAAAAGTACGTTCTGTTTTGCAAGATATGTTGTGTTAATTTAACAAATTATGAAACTTTACTTTAAATTTGCAGACGGGATACCGGCAAGAGTCATAATATGAGGGGAGAGGGATTGCGTTCGGAATCAGCAATGCAAAGGTCAAACTTCCTTAACCTGCTTAATTGCAATAATACTAATGTTTTATTTAAATTGACAGGCGCAGCACAAGTGAAGAAAGAACACGCTCGCTAAGGCAAAACAACTTGGAATGGTATTCTCATCAAGGCAGTACCATTGGCTCGTTTGAGTCTGATAGATATGCAGTTTCAAGAAAAGAGAGGTAAAGTATTCGTACTCGAAAATTGCCATTGTAAATTTAACAATTTTTATTACAGATTTAACGAGATTCCGGTTGAGACCTTAGAACCTCCACCTCCTGGATATGAACTAAATCCATCATCAAATAATAGCACTTACCAATTTAATCAGCAAGATTATATGAATTCAAGAAAGCGAAGAGATCGCCCCTCAAGTGACACACGAGAAAAGAAACAATTAGACTTTCGAGGGGGCTCAGATAAAAATGATGTGAAAACCCTAACGAGAAATACTGAGAAAAAAGTGAGAAGAACTCGCAGTCCTACACCAGTATCTAAGAAAAGGTCTGGTAGTTGTGATAAATTAGAAAAGAACAATAGTAAACGTTCTCGAAATAATATTATTGTTTCCCGAAAAAGTATTGAACGAAACAAACCCGATGATTATTATAAACGTGAAAGTAGTTCTAACGAAGCAGCAAAGCGCAATAATGAAAAAAGTTACGAGAAATGTACAAACTCATCCGACGAAGCAATAGTAAAAGAAATGGCAGTTAATTGTGTAAAGAACGAAAAACCAGACACTTTTGATCGTCATAAAAGCCCTGAAAAACAGAAAACTAAACATGGCAGTACAATTGGTAAAGAGGATGAAATGCGCTCGAACTCTAGCAAAGATGAGAAAAACTTAAGGAAACCCAAAGATAAGGATCGGAAAAAAAGAAGGAAAGATAAAGAAAGAAAGAAAACTAAGAAAGAAAAGAAAAATAAAAGAGATCGAGAAAGACAAAAGACCTCAGCTGAATCTGAGGAACGGAAACAACATGATGAATTTGATGAGGCAAAAGATGTATATATCTCAAGAACACCGGAATTAAATAGTTGCCATAACATTTCAACTGTAGACGATATAACTTCAAATGAGGAAAATAATGCGAATGTAAATAGTTTACTATCTGTTCGAGATAATGTTGATATAATAAAAAGTAGTGATCAAGAAAACCCTCAAGATAAGGTTAAAACAGACTCAAATACAAATGAGACTGAATTTAGGCGCGTTGATTCAGTTTTAGATATTCTTGATTATGAGACTGAATTTGACGACTTAAATTCTCAAGGTCAGCAAAAGCTTAAAAATACTGCACCCGTCCCTGAACCTTCAAAATGGGAAATTGATGAAAACAATGTATGTGTTGCTAGTCAAATAATAAGTTTAGACCCTAAAGATGGCACTGATTACCAGAATGAGAAGTTATCAAATGAAAAAGTTACTAATGAAGTATTGCGTAAAGCTGAAAATGCTATATTTGCACGTGCTATTAAAGCTATATATCCTTTTGATAAAACTGAAGGAAATAATGATAATCAGAGGGTATACAGTGAATCACTACCGAGGATTGTTCCGAAAGATAAAATTAAAAACTTTGAAATCACTGTACCAACTAGTAATAGTCAAGAACGCTCTGTACAAATAAAAGATGATTCTTCACATTCCCCTAAAGTGGTTAAGTCTGTGAAAGAAAGATTAGGAAGCAAAGTTACTACGAAATACGACTACTCTCCTGGTCGGGAAAGCCGCAACAAGCAGCATATTAAAAGCAATACAGTCGGCCAAACTGTTTATGAAAGGTCGGAAGAACGAAACAGAAATAAATTTAAAGATAGAGGTCACGACAATCGTGATAATAGGAATAGCCGTGAAAACCGTGACAGAGGTGGAAATAAGTTTACAACCCCATCAAGTAGAGATAGAGATCGAGAAAGGAATCGTGATCGCGATAGATTTCATGAAAATGACAAATATCGAATCAAAGAGCGTGAGAGAATTCGGGATCGTGATAGAGGTACTACTTTAGATAATCGTCACAAATCTCCAAAGCAATCGATTCGGGAATTCGAAATGACATCAAGAAGTAGGCCACGTGTTAGGGATAAGGGCGATGATGAAGGCTCGCATACCACTGCAGGACCTAGGGGTAATGAAAATACAATGAGCAGTTCGAAAGATAGAATCAAGTCGAAAAAAATTAATTTTGAAGATCGAGATACAGCGGCTTGTTCTGCAAACGTAGATGTATATAAAAAGAGAAGCCTTTCAAAAGAAAGGAATAAAAGTGAAACTCACAATATTAAAAAGTATTTCACTGAAACGGAAAATAGATTAAAATCGCATAACTTAAGCCCATGCAGTTCTTCGCGATCTGCTGATACGAGCTCTGATTCCGAATCTGACGAAGATAAACGAAAGAAAAAACCTAAATATAAAAAAGACAAAAAACATCAAAAACGTTCAGAATCAGTGGAGTCCATTATGAGTTCAAAAGAAAAACATGCGAAGAACAAAAAACGAAATAAATCTTCAAAAAAAAAGAAGAAAAACAAAAAATAGTTTTTCATACTTCATATTTTAAATAAGAATTGGAAATATTTAATGTATAGCTATTATATTAGATTTTGTGTAATATTGAATAAGAATGTAATCACATACATATGAGTGTATGGCAAAATAAATAATGGATAAACTAATAAATTATAATCGGTCTATTTAATAACTTTGCAGGGGAGCATCTGCTTTTTATCAACTCAATTTTAGTTTTATATAGGAAAATGACAATTATAAAAAAAATGCAATGAAAATAATTCTAACGTTGCACTGGCACAACTTACAATATCTATGTATTTGAGCGACATTTACTAAGAAGGAGCAAAGTACTTCATAAATAGCATTTTACTCAACAAGTGCATTCCCGTAAGTAGTAGGTTGCATCGATTCATTATGTTCGCATCCTGTTCCACAGACCCTTAGTAATGATTCAATAATATATAATTGTGTTACTACAGAGCGGGCTTCTCACGAAAATAATTTTTAATCCATAAATTCAAATAAACTTGTTTAAGTTTTTCTTATAAATTTCTTGTTTAATAGATGCCTTGTAGAGGCATGTTATTAACATGTTACATATTAGTATAAGCGTTGTAAAACAACGCACTACGGATTTATTTAGATAGGAGAGACAGGTAAGTAACATATTTCAGTTTAATATCCGTATCCTTGTTCTGAGGCGGTTTAAAAATTGTAAGATATGCCATTTGTCGAACAAAATCACAACATTCATTACAACTAGAAAAAGAAACATGTCCAACTCCTTTATTAAGTGTACTTATGTATCTGAAAAGCTATTTTCGTCGAGACTACATTTGATTATCGAACATCTAATAATTAAGGTCACAAAGCATTATGCTTTCCGAGATTTCTAATATTATAGAAAAAGTACTAAAAGTAGTAATATATTATTTGGTTGTAACAAAGAATTTATTTCATTTTTGTATTTAAATACAAAATATAAATTTTGATTTACATGCTAAAAATAATTATGAATTGATTGATATTGGTAGTTGCCTGATTTACCAAAATGTTACAAGATTTAAAATATATATGACTTAAGAATATATTGTTATTACTTCGCGACCTCCTCCCCGCACCATTAATACCTTTTCTAGACCCTCGGTAAGAACCTCTAAAAATTCCATATCTGTAAATACAAAGAAGCATAGTAAAACCGTATATAAAATATAGCGTATATGGACTGAGCTTTGTACACAGCGTTATGCCAGTGTAAAATTTTGACGATTTAAAAAGGATACAATTGCTTTCACGATCGATTTTAGATTCTCGCGGAGGTCCAGGTAAATTCATTATGACAAGTTGGGCATCTTGTGATTTATTTACAATAACTTCGTTTAGCTTAACTGCCGTGTGCATTCGGCGAACATTAATTTCATCACTAAAAATAATATTAACAATTTAATAAAAATAAAATTATTGAACATACATATATGTATTAGTATAAAAAATAATGTATTGCAATGTCTAAAATATGTCTCTGAATAGACAATTTAATTCCAATTTGTAAGATAGTTTTCAAAAGCATTAAATTAAAAGAGAGCGACAAAATACGTACGGTTTTAAGGTTGTGTTCGAATTTCCGCCTAAAATATTTTTTTCAGGCTTTTCGTCTTCACTTTGTCCTTTTTCTACAGTATGTAGGGTCGATCCATTATCCAATTTAGCGTCTAGTGAGTCGGTTTCAGCCTCTTTTGTCTTCGCCTTTTCATCCCCATCGGCCTCCTGAAAAATAAACAGAATTTCTGACATCCGAACAAAAGAACTTATCTAAGATAACATATGGATAGACCTAAGAATTTTAAACATACAACATTATTATGCAATTACTATGGCTCTACGGTATAAGAAACATTCGATTTTCGACTGTAACGTAAGTGTTTATCGAACAATATAAACTAAATTTTTGTGAATTTCAGTCGTATATTATTTTCTAATTTTTAACCAAATAAAATAAATCACTCATGCTTCTTATATTCTTACATTTTGTAATCGTTAATGTTAAAATAACTTATTGATTTTTGATGATTTTTAAGAATTTTAAAATATAGTATGCGAAAAGATACTCTCGAAATAAATAATCACTAGTGAAGATCTAATGCAACTCGTAATAGAATTAGACACATGTGGTACTTTATTTTAGTTATATTATAAGTAAATTTCTTGCAAAGATATTCGCCTTTGTACACTACATACATATATTAAATAATGTATGTATACTACATATGTATATTAAATAATTAAATTTGGGAATGCTTGGCGAACGCAAGGTGCAAATTGATTTTATTGTTCTTGCCTTTTTTTGTAAAGAAGTTAAAATTTTAGATGTTACCTTACTATTACACTATATAAGCGTAACGGATAATAATAATAATATGTTAATTGGCATGCCATTGTCTAAATCGCAAAGAATTTTACGCTTACGTTTTCATGTTTTTCTTCTACATTAACGGTTGGATCTGCAAACCGAACCTTTGAAGAGGTCTTCGTTGCATCATGATGATGATCAACAATTGTCTGAACCTGCAATTATCATGAATTGAAACAAGGTTGATTCATTCGAAAAAGTTAATTATAGTTTGGCTATGCCAAACAATTTACACCCTTCACGCTATAACAAATGTAATTATATTCGTACATATATGTACATACTTAAATAATAATAATTTTATTATTTGCATTTCATTTTTGTACATTTTAGCGTGATGGGTGTATGATAAATAAAAAAAAAATATCGTGAATTGACAAGAAAAACTTTTTAAGAAAATCTTTATTGAGAAACAACAGTATGCAGAGGAGGAAAGGCTATACATATTGATATAACTGCTATAAATTTGAATATATATTTCGTATATACACAAAGTATTTAACTTATTGCTTTTAGAGAGTTTTTCTTGTTATCCATCGATATAAATGTGGTATGAGGCAAAACTAGGATGAACATTATGATGTTGCAGGCTTGTTGATTTAAAGGGGGTTTGGTTTAAGGTATTTACATTTTTTTCTTTTGAATTTTTGTTCTTTAGTAGAATGCATAATATCTTAAGAATGTTGCTTGGAGCAAAATTGAAGAAATTACTAGTATTTTTATATCTGTTTTATGAACTTTTATATCAGATATTTTAGTATGCCAAACTTTAAAGCGGGTTTCCCACAACTCACGTTGTCATAACTTCAAAACTGCACCGACCCTATTGAAGTTTTGAACACTAATCCGGTACGTAATTTACGACGTAACGCCGGAGACAATAACAAATTAAAGTGAAAAATTAGCATTACAAGGGGGGAGTAATTATTTAACGAATAAACTTTGATTTTTAATTTCTGATGATCCAGCACCAAGTTATGAGCAGCACCGTTTTTCTGAGGCACGTCCGAATATGATGAAATTGCCGTATCTTTTGATATTTTGACGTGAAATTTTTATATGACCTTCTTCGAATAGTTTTAATAAAGAGATTTTAACTGTGTTCTCACAAAAATTCACAAAAGTATGCCGTTTTTTTTTTATAAATTAGGCTTAACCCCATATTATTCACGTACAAGAAATAATCGTCAACATATACACATTTTTTTAATTCGTAGAAAATAACGCAACATAATTTCCAAATTGTAGAGGAATGTTATATGATGTAGAAGCATTAACTTTGCATTTGTGAGTAAGTATATATGTATAAGCAGTCATTTTTGTTTTGATAGTCCTCTGAGAGCACTAACAGGAAAATACATACATATGTAGCGCACATCTTTTGTATATTGATGCAGAAATATAAACAATGAATGAAACACATATATACATATACTACACTATATATTCATATCAAGAGACCAAACTAAATGGGAATATTTTTACGATAATCAATAAAAGAGAAGCATAATGCATACAATTAAAAAATTGTAGTTTTATGGAATTTTATATGTATATATGTATGTATGTGAAATGGTTGTATATTTTTGGGTTCTTTTAGTTGCTATTGCTGTGTTCTTTTAAAAAGGGAAGTTTCGAAGGTATTCCTTACAATTATTAATGTACTTATGTGTGTATTATAGTAATAATGTGAAATGAATGATGAAGGAAAATATAATGACATTTTCAAATACTTTAGGTTATTCTCAGCCTTTACCAAAGGTAACTTATCATCCCCGGTGGTTTCCTTAAAATCCACTAGAGTCTGTACCTTTTTTTTTAAAAACAGACAATATGTGAAACGTATTCAATAATTTAGAAAGTTTTTGGATTAAACAAATGTCGAGGATTTTTTTTTAATGCCGTACTTACTATTTTAGAGTTTTCTTTCTTATTCAAACGCAGTTCCCTCAACATTTGATTTCTCTGTTCCATCATCAATGTTCTCTCGTATGTATAGGCAGATATATCACTGTTCATCTATTCAAAAATGGGATTCATAAATAAAAGCAAAAAAAAAATTATTGGGAGGGCTTACCATTTCCACAACCTCCACGTCGGCCTCAATTCGTAAGTGATATAGAAACGTTTTTAAGTCTTTTTTCATCTGAATTGAATTATCCTCCATTTGTGCGACTGTAAAAATTCTCAATTTGCAGTTTCTCCAAGTACGATGCTGTTTCAACAGAAAAGGTAATAACATAAGAAGACCTCCATCATGTACAATCCACCAAATGTCGATATTGCCTCCAATCTAGCGAATATAATATAATATAATAATAATAATATTAACTATATAATATAATTAACTATGTATCAGCGTATTTGAGTCTAATAAAAGAAAATAGGGACAGAATTATGTAAAGAGGGTACTCTAGTCTAGCGGTCCGAGTTTCAAGCACTTTTTGGCAATTGATAAAGAAGCAAATACGTCCTCGTCGTTACGATTTCTACCCTTATGATCATATCAAAACTAAAACAATGCCAGATTTTTGATCTGTACAAATGTCATTCTCCCTTGAACCAAAAAAATTAAAAATCTTAAAAATGGAAGCTACTCAAAAATATCGATTTTTTCAAATTTCTAGACTAGAGTACCCCCTTAATAATATAATATGATAGTTGATGTCATCGCATAATGATCCGCCCTGTTATCGGAATATGTATTATTAATGGTAGATAATGATTGGCCTAATATTTATTTTTTGTTGATTAACTACACGCTTACCTTATGATTAGATTCTGGAAAAAAATTTATTCCCTTTGGAACCAGTAGGGCCATATGACAGGCAGCTACTGTTCGAACGGTTTGTATAAATGTTTTCCAACTTTGTTTACCCTCTTGTCTCCAACTATAGGGCCACCCAATAATAACTGTATTTGGCTTCATACCTCCAAGGCCTATTGTCTGAATTCTGAAATTTTATTTTTTAATGGAGACCAGTTTATTTATAATAATAAGAGATATGTATATGTACTTACACAGAACTTAAACCTTCCCCTATATCGCGGGAAACCAATACATCACAGAAACCTTTCACTTTTTCATCGTCCATTAATTTTCTCAAAGCCGCCTTGGCATCCACAGCTCTGTTCGTAATTTTATGATGGTCACCCTGGATAACCGATACACATATTGTTAACCCCTTCCCAGCTTTAAGTTGAGTTGCAAAGGCAAATATTTTTCTGTATTTCGGCATGAAGTTGTCATTGAATTTTGATAACACTAAAATTTGTGGGCGCCAGTTTTTGGTGTGTGGTGGACCTTCCTCTAAGCGTAATAGCGAATATCTGGCAGCTGTTAATGCCATTCCTCTGATTCCATCTCCCCATTCTTTTTCGGCTCTATATACAAATAAATAGTATGTTGGTATGTAAATTATACAAAATATTTTAAGTAAGGTAAGCTCGGGTGTAAGTGAACATTTTATACTCTCGCAATATTAAAGATCAAAGCCGGACAAATACTCGTACATTAACTGTTGACAACATGTCGCCTGAAAATTATACATTCATTATTTGACGAAGCCGTGAATTGGAGAAAAAAGTCAATCAGAGAATCAGAAAACAATATATTAGGGACACAAGATAACGCACACACTGACCGATATATCTGATATATATGAGATTGAAAAATTATTGTCCGATTTTCACAACTTTTAGACAAAATGGCCTATCCAAAAGGCACTGTTCGTGCAAAGTCTTATTTCAATAATGCAATTGGATCTAATTGTAGTTGTAGTCATTTTTACAAAGTAATATACGGATATCAAATATATATGGTACTATCACGCACGAAATTTTTGTTGAAATTGTTCGAGTAGGTTTTGAGATGTCGGATTTCACCTAAAGATTTGCGGTGCCACACCCATTGTCCCATTTTGACACCGGCTCGTATGAGGTCCTTCTGTTTCACATATTCATAAAACGACATATTTATTTAGTGAGTTATCAGTTAGTAGTTTTCAACATAACTGTTATATGGGTAGTGGGCAATATTATTATCCGATTTCCGACCATGGTAGCAGATGCCGAAAATATTTTTCTTGAGCTTTAGTAGTTTGTGATATACCTATACTAAACTTAAACCCTCATGCAATCCGCTGCACCAAATTACAATTTTGTATCTTAATTTGTAGCTTAGTTGCGGCATTTTATAGATTTTTGATTAACGGCATCTTGGGTGGTGGCAGTGGTCCGATTCCGACCATCAACAATACCAATTTTCTTATGGTGCCAAGTAACATGTACACCAAATTTCATTTAAATACGGACAGATAGATAGTCACTCGAAGTTTAACTCATCTCGTCATCCCGATTTTTTATATAGATTTATACATACAAAAAAACTCTATATCTAATTCGATTAGTTATACAAATAACCATTAGGTTCACAACACTAGTATGCAATGTAGCGACATGGTTCGAGAGTATAAAAAGCATGTACGTACACACGTATATATGTGTTAACTTACTTACCCACGATATTCAATATATTTATAAATAACTATTGCCATTCCCATCGCAATCAATGCAAAGTACCAAGATGTCATAAACATTATTGATATACACAAAGTCAAACCAACTAATGACAATCCCCAGTGATAAAATTTAAATCGTGGCCTCCAGTTTGGTGTTCGTAACAAAGTTTGCACAGCGCAAGCAAGATTCACAAATCCGTAACACATAAGGAAAAACATAGATAATAAAGGTGCCAGTAGATCAACGTTACCTGAAAAAGATATACTTTATAGAAGTTACTATATAGTTACTCCTAAAATCTACATCTAAATTTAATTTTTGTTGCAGTCACATACCCAATAATATTCCGCACTGACATATAACAATTGTTAAAAGCAGGGCTCTTGTAGGTTCACCACGTTTAGAAGAAACCGCAAACGGGGATAAAAATGGAATGATTTCGTCTCTTGCTATGGCCTGCAGTAGACGAGGTGCCCCAGTTAAACTTTGTAAACCAGCACCAAGTGTCGATAAGAATGAGCCAACCAATATTACCCATTGATTTGGCCATGCTATATTTGCAACTACTAGTTTACCACCTATAGATTGTCCAAATCTATTAAGGATGACAGTGGTAATAATAAAACAAAATATATACTTGTGAAGATCTGTATTAATCACGTACTTGTCTCGTAAGAGAAGATTATCCACGGTTCCCGCAAATAACATGACGCTTGATAAATAGACAGTACTTGTTGTTAAAATAGCGCATATAGTTCCTATTGGGATACTTTTTTGAGCATCCGCTAAATCTCCAGATCTATTAGATCCCGCCATTATACCTACAAATATATATGAATATATATATTTAAATTTTCTTCTACCTATCTGAATAAAGTACCTGTTACTGATGGGAAAAATATTCCAATAAGCAACGTAAACGAAGTCGTTATATCAGCCGTTATCTGATTGTAAGTAGATGGTGCCATATTTTCAATATCAACTGTATTTTTTCCATATGCTATAAGTTGACCTTTCTAAGAGAGTTACAATTGACGAAACATATATAAATTGCAAATTTACATATAATAGGATGTCTATGAGCACAAATACAATATTTTAAAAAAACTTACTTCCAAAAACGATGGTAACATGTTTTCATAGAACACCCCACTAGCAAGACCCTTGATACCTTTGACTTTGGTAACATTATTATCTTATTAAAAAAATTAATGAAAATAATAATAAGTATTGCTCAATGATAAAAAATTAAAATAGTTTGTTTTTATAACATACTTGTGTAATATTCATCGCACCCATTATCATTGCAAAACAGATCCGACAAGAGTGTATCACTTTTAGTACAATTATCTATTGGAATATCTTTAAGCAAACGTTTTCCAAGGACGCACATACTGAAAATAATTTAGTTCGCTAAAAGTTTACATTTAAAATTGTATTGGAGACTTACTAAAGTTTTTCGTTTCCATGAATATTGTCAAATATTCCAATATAAACCGCTATTATAGAGAATATTACACATGCCAAAGCGACCGCTGCAAATTTATTTACAAACTTAACACCCAAAAACACAATCAAACCTAAAATAAATTTTTTTTGCTTTATTTGAGAATTGTACGGTAATTTTAATTCTTAGTCACCCATAATAAGCAAAAGCAGTGTTCCGTAAACTCTGAAGTTATTATACATAGCATCCGGATCTTTGGTGAAATCGCCAAATATTGATGCCCACGGCGCCATATAAGTCTATGATATTGTGTCATTTTTAGTATTTAAGATTTGATTAAATTTTTTAAAACGTATTAATTACCAGCACAATTTCTACAGCACCCACAATGTACATAGCAGCTGCCAGAGTAGTTCCTGTATAAAATAACATTCCCACCGCGCCACCGAATTCTGGTCCTAACGATCTATTTTATTGATAAATTTTGTAATTTAAATATGATATTGTTAATCAGTGATATTTAAATATGTATGTTAAGTACAATATCCATTTTCAAGATTACCTCGAAATCATGAAATAGCTTCCACCGGCAGGCACCACTCCATTTGTAGCGATTGCTGACATGGAGATTGCTGTTAACATGGTCTATTGGATATGGGAGAGGAGAAGCGTTATTATTATTATTTTTATTAAAAAGTGGAACGTATGAAACGATTTCGGACTTATGAATTAGATCTGAAAACTAGCCATATTTTTTATTACTATTCATGACATTAAAATATTATAACTCCTATAGAAAACAAGTTAATACACAATCGAGAAACGAATATACCATAGCCGCGAATGAATTTATTAACTTTTACTTGTATTATGCACTATAATCAGATTACTAGTTTTGCTCTGCGTCCGCGATATTTATATCAATACACACTGTGACCAACATAATCGGTTTAAAGTTAGTTGAAAAGTCAGAAATCATTATATTGGATATATTGGGGCTAGGGGAAGGTTAGAACTGATTTCAATAACTTTTGACAATTTCATATATTTGATAATATGAATATAACTCACACATGACCGACATTTTCTGGATACCAAAAATCATTTTATTATATTTAGTGTATTGAATGTGGTCTATTCGTGAATTGATTTCACCCATTTTCGCCATCAAACTGGATGTACTATAGTTCGCCCATCTACAATACTAGTCTTCTCATAGTTTCAAGGAACACGGGTATCTTAAGTTTTACTCAAGTTATCACTTGCATGGACGGACGGAAAAACATTCACCCAAAAATCAAATCGTCTCGTCATTCTCATCATTTATATATATGAATATAACTGTAAAATCTATCTCGACTAGTTTTAGGTGATACAAACAACCGGTAGGTGAACAATACTATTATATTCTGTAGCAACACGTGCGGTAGCAGAAAAATTGCAGTCACACTTTAAAAATATTAATGCGTTAATATGTATAACTCCGTGAAGATGTAAATGTATTTAATGCAAAAGACTTTGAATAAGTTATTTCTAAAAACTTACCACACAACAACAGGTTAATACTATTAAAAACCCACATACTGCACCAGCGGTTCCCACTACCCACGTAAGCCGAATAAACAGGATAACACCAAAAATGTTTTGAATACATGGCAAGAAAACTCCAATTAATGTACCTTGAAAAAATTAATTAAACAATCTGTGATTTAAAAATGCATATTAAAATTTTTAATTTAAAAGGCATTCATTGCACTGTACGACACTCTTCTGGGTATTGGAACAACTCATATATGGTACATTTAGATACTATTCAATAAATTCTGTTTCAAAATTCGAAGGCGAATATTTCGATTTTTTAGGCTAACTTCGAGAAAGGAAAGACCATTTTTTTACATGTGACATTCTCTCGAAAAAATTAATATGGCCTAATACCCAGAAAAATATCGAATTTACCCTACATTGGTATTAATCAATATAATATAATGTGATGTACATATAATGTGTCGCACATATGCACATATATAAATCTATCCACATCAAAGATATAGATTCATATGTGCGTTGTACAAGCATACCTCCATATTAGATATTTAAATTTTTTCAAACAAATTCTTTATATTAACATTGGCTGAACAAGACTATTAAGGTTGTGCTAAAAGGATTTATTTATAGTAAAGAAATGTTTTATGCATATGTGCGTACGTGGGTATGAATATTACTCTTGAGCAAGTGGCAAACTGTATTCATCACACTTTGTAAATCAACACATTTTCTAAATATCTAATTAACATTAGGTGTAGAAGAGTCTTGGAATAAGGAAAACATAAGAAAAGAAGAATGTACATATGTATATTCATACGTGAATGAATGCTTTGCTGTAATCCTTGATATATCTAAATAGACATATAAGCACTACACTTCGAGTATATCAGAGATCGCAAGGAGGTAATAACAGAACCAAATCGCTAATTAAGTAAACTAAAAGCTTAACTGTCATATTTAATCTTACCCATACGAGCTGGAGGTGCAGCAGTTTTCGAATCCGGGTCAGTCGCTGATGGTATGGTGTTTTCATAATTGGCGAGTGAAGATATAAATGTTGATACGTGTGGTCTGGTATCCAATTCATCGTCATAAAGATATAAGTTAGCATCGATGTTCGATTTCTCGTTATTTTGTTCTACTTGAGTATTATCGCAAGGATCTTAATACAATATAAAAAATTAAAATTAGATTTCAAAAGTTCGGCATTTGAAAAATTTGTTATAAAAGAATTGATGAACTAAGGTGCGCACATACGTATATACATACATATGTATGTAAATGTGCGAAGATGTGAATAAGTTCAAAATTATATAATAACGACGATTCAATATAGAAGGCAAAACTTTTTATAGATATTCAGATTTCGAATTTTTTGTTCATGATTAAATATACAATTTTAAATTGGTCTCCTGTGTCTAACAGCTGATATAGACATAGAGTTGTATGTATGTGAATTTGTTTCCTTATGTCTTTCTGTTGATCATCCATAGTGTGTGTCGCTAATGACCCAAATCGAACCATTTACATACTCACAAAACTATTTTATTCAAATAGTTACGTATTTATTTTTCTGTAAGTAATTAAAATACGAGACTCAAGTAGGAAACACGTTGAGCACATTTTATTTTACGTCCTTATTCTATATTATACATATGTATGTACATATATTGATAACTTTCAGGTGAATAGAATTAAAGTCTAACTTGGAACAAAAACTATTTTGCACAACAACAACTTGTTTGCCTTTATAACAGTATATCTAAATTAGCCCACCGATTTTTGACAACAATCTACCTAAAAAGGATAAAACCCGTTCATAGACGGTTCCTGGTCCTAATGCGTCGAATATAATATCTTTCATTGGTTGATTTTGTTTCATAGATATCAGACAGCACTTCAGATATTTCTCAGCAACGAAGTTTGCTAACGCATACATATGTATATATAAGCAAACCATTAGAAAGTGACCAGTTTTAAAAATTACAAAATATGAATTTACAAATAGTATGTGCATTTTGTATACATATTCCAAAAAGTATATGGTGTATATATACATTTGGACTTTTAAAAATTAAAGCCAAAATTTTTTAGAAGCTTCTTAGAAAAATATAATATAAAACCACAATTACAATGCATATTATTATACACCATATTAGAAAACTCCTCGCCCAAATCTGATCAAACTATTTTACAACATTTGTATGTTCGAAACATCCCGACTATGAATACGTGTATAACATTCCTCTTTTATCTCAAAGGCATGAATTGCACACGAGAGAATATATTGCGTAAGGAATCATGCTCTATCATTTAAAGATTATCGCTGGGGCACGAATTGAGCCGTCGGCAATCACAGTTGTACAGTTGTACATACATACATATCTCATGGAAGTATTGTACCAACAAGCAAGGCAAATATCTGTGATATGATAATAAATAATACAGGGAGAGCTTTTATGGAAGTTTAGCAATTAATGACCCTTTATTGGAAAATATCTGAGAATCGTTACTTTATATAATACAGTAAATTTTCGAATTAAAACGATAGTGTTGTTCGACTACTACATCAATTGTAATGTAAAATGTAATAAATGGTGAATTTATTTTATTATATTAAATTGAAAACAAAATCATTAAACTACCCACCTTTATTTTCCTTTTCACTATGAGTGCCGATTTCCATTTCCACAGATTTATTTTGTACACTTTTAATAGACATTTTAGTTGGGACTTAACAAAATAATTTGTTACACTTTATTAACTGTCATTCTACGATGTCAAACACAATTTTTTTGGGTTTATGAACTAACTGATTTGCTTTCCTTTTTAATAAAATGAAAATATTAGCTCGTTATCTATTTTACTAAATGTGTTGGCTTAAGTCTTCACAATTACAGAAATAAGGATTCATGTCATGCATGCATATGTATACATATATTCATATGTATTCTATCGGATATGCATACATATGTACACATAATACAATTTACGTAAGTTGAGACACGGATATACAAATCCATGTATACTGGTACCTGTTTTTGGTTTCTGATCGCACTAAGATTAGTTTATAAACATATTAAATCAGTACTGGGATAACCTTTCAAATATATTATTTAGTAACAAATACTTATTATTCGAATATACAAAGGTGATTGTACCGTTAACGCTTTCTTAATCATTACTAATTTTATAATTTTAAATAACTTTGAACTAAGCAAATATGAAATACGTGTGTCTTCAATTGCACACATACTCTTTAACAAATTCACATACACCAATAATTAACCAAAGTACTGCACTTTATTTACACTTAGTTTATTCATAACCTAAACCACCGTTAATTTTTTTGTTTGAGGTCTACTAAAGTCCAATTTCTTATTTTTTACACTCTTATGTAATTAGTCCAATATTTACATCAAATATAATGAAAATATCACAACACCGTGGAAAATGGATCTAAGTTTATTATATTTAAATGAATTTAAGTTCTGAAAAATTCATAATGAAATTTTGATTTATTTCAATAACGGAGAAACTAATATAATAAGAAGTTTCCCCGTCAAAGGGAAAATCTGTACACAGAGAATTCCTTTACAAATGCGAATCCTTGGAATGTGTATGCTGCGGAGCTTAAAGGTGCCAGGACCTGCGTATTGGAGAAGAACAATTGGTGATACATAAGCAAAAGATGTCAAGTGAATCCACCACAGCATCCCTGGGCGACATTTGTCATATAGAAAGCTTTTTATAACAGTTCCACAAAGGAGCTATTTTACGACCAAAAGCTTTTAATTTTTACCTCTTCCAAACATTTGCGAGGAAACATACATATTTCACCTACATAAAATACTGTAACGTATATATATATACATACATACATATATATGATTGTACACATAAAAATGTATAAAATCATCTGACCATTTCAAGGTAAGTTGGTATTGAAGTCAGCACGTGTACATAGTTATTTCGTAACGCCCACAGAAAGGATACATTTGTACTACTATACTGAACTCGGTTGTAGATATGTACATACATATTTTACAGCTTTGAAAAAGTAACTTAATCTTGGCTATATTCAAATTATATGCTGAGTGATTTTAAATATTTAATAATAATCATATGTATACACGCACAAACATATATATATGTACATATATTCACCTTATTATGTAATAGTCAAAGACCATTGAGAAATACAGAATCGATTGATAATTATATAACATTATATGTTAGTTATTAGCAGGAAGTTAATAACCAAAGTAAGCAATGAAAATATGCATGATACGTATGTAGATATGTATGTATTCCTATAAAAATTAAAATAAAATCCATTACTATATGCAAAAATTTAGTGAGTACTTCAAAAGTAAAAAATCGAAAATACGAAATTTTCGATTACATAATCAATTACGAAACATAGTCCACCTAGACACATTGCGTAGTTGTAGTGAGTTTGTTGGAAGGTTTTTACACTGTAGGGATCAGAACTAAAGATAGAATAGAAATTGACTTACTATTTTCGTCCAGAATAAAAACACCACAATAAGGACATACATATGTATGTACATATTAACCATTATTAGCAGTGCTTACACAAAAAATCACGTATTTACATTTTTTACATAGTCTTAGACTAATCATACATAGTCTTAGACTACCTTAATAAATTCGTTAAAGTGGATTGTACGAATACTACTCTATTACGTTACTTACCATGTACATCATTTAAAAGCTTCCCAGTTGCATTTTCATCAGCAGGATAAGGTTCTGACTCTTCCTCAGCTTTAGATACTTTAAATCTCTCTGGCATTATCTTGTTCTAATACAATTTAAATAGAACGAAAAATTAATTAGAACGATTCATATCAAACCCTGGTGTGTAATATATGTACATGTGTAAACATAAGTATATGTATATAAAAAAATAATGTATTATATAATGTAATACCGAGTAAATTTGAATAGTTTGAATTTTGAGCAATATTAAAAATATTTGAGTTTACTTTATATACCAGGTTTTACCTTGATTTGCTTAATCGGAATAAATCTTATCATATTTATTCGCATAAAAAGCAAAAGAGTAATAGTTAAATGTTGTGAGGTGCAAATAATATTTAGTTTGTAAAATAACAAATGCTCCCCAACCGACTGACTCTTTTGTAAGAAAGTGTGTATGTATGTACTTACTTATAAATGCATGTGATCGACAAATTTATTTACATACATACTCATATGTTCATATATACATACACATTTGTGTGTGCATTTTACTACATAAAGTTCATAATTTTGTGTTCTGTCCTACACATACTTATACGTACAAGCATATCAATATACTCGTACTTACTTTGCAATCCTATTGGACAATATTTCACTGGAAGTTTTCAAATACTTATACACATACCTTTCTTAATTCACTTCACTCAATGGTAAGTCTACAACATAAGTTATTTAAACTATGGATGTTTTATAATAAAGAAACAACTTTTCAATTCTACGTTTAACAGAAAACTGATAATGCTGAGAAGCGCATGAGTAACACTAAAGAATTTTCTACTGTATATAATTTAAAATAATGGTATTCGTGACATTGGTTTCTTTTACATATTTGTTTATTGGTTTGTCCATGCCTGGATACTTTTAGTCAATATTAGAGTTAATTCATAAAACCAATGTTCGATAATATCTAGGTTAATAAATTACTAAGTAAACATTTAAAAAATATTCATAAATCTGTACAAACATAAATAAAAGATACAAAAAAATTAACGATATTCACACTCTTGTTATATATTCGAGATGTCTTAAGTTACGCTGGACTAATAGTTTAGCCAAAATTGTATAAGCACTTTAATATAAAACATGGTAAACAAATTAACGTATATACATATATGTATGTATATAGCACATGCACACGGGCATGATTATAAAAGTCTTACTTATCCAGATATATATTGATATACATATATAAGCACATTTGATGAATACATACAGCCAAATATTAACATATGCACATACACATGTAAAAAAATATAATTATAAGCAAGTACCTTTAAATATGTACATATGTATATATATTCCAATACTCTCATAAGCCTAAGTACTTAAGTATGTAAATATTAAACATACATTTATTAAAAGCATGTATCTGTATATCAACGAAACTTATTAGCAATTATAAATTAAAAGTCTCTATAGTAAATTAATATAACTGTTTAATTAAGTTGCCAAAAATAATCATTAATATGAATGCATATGGAATTTGTATACTTTTTTATTTTTCTATTTAACGCATGATGATTCAGGATATATTTAAAAGAAAAGTTGGTGTGAGTCGATTTCCGTGCTACTTTAGATAATAACCACACTTTTACCTAGTTGAAATTGTGTCCAATTAGGTGCACGTTCAGTTTTTATCAGAACAAAGCCCTTTGAAATTAAAATAAATCTACACAGCTATTTTAAAACTTAATTAAATTTTATAATCACTCTCAAAAATTGTTCATTAATATAAGAGGATTTTATCCGCGCTTAATACAATATATTAAGCAGAAATCATTCATACGTATATTTGAAGGTGCAGCGTTGAGAAATCGGAACCCGATAAAAGAAGTACAATACCAAAGTGTATCTAGCAGCAGATTCCTTTGGTTTTAAATATTATATATAAGCATATCCCAGCCACTCGGGGCTACCTGAAACTCCAATACTTCGAAAAAATGAGCGGGGGAATTAACACATACTCAATGTGCAACTCATAAGGCCTTTGCGTAATCATGAGATAAACGATCACACCTACACTAAAGTTTCGGTTAGATTTGTCAATAGGACATTAAGAAACTCATAGAAACTTTAACAGAACTCTCTGGTAACGCTGTTGGGTAATTAACCGGTGCCTTAACCGATATGTGGCTTACAGGGACGCTTCTCACGAATATTTATCAACTTTCTACAAAATTCATCAGAAAATCTAAGAAGAGAGGACATTTTATTCGCATGACCAAAGGTGGTACATATTGCAATGAAATCGCTTAACTTCCCAACTTTTTTCGTTTTTGGCTGTGGCAGATGTGAATAAGAATTACATAAATAAAATTGTGCTATGTCGTGGTAAACTATACAAATTTATTTTTGTTTCTATGTTGCCTACACTAATTATATAGCTTATGACGTCGCAATGGAGCAATCTTGTTTTATCATTCTTTATTAAATTTTTGTTCTATAACCGAACATAATGACCTTGTTATCCTCGAATTAAGTTTGGCACTAAACTAAACTTAAAGATATAAGATGTAGTTGAAATTTAAATATATGACAGCATATTTTCGAGATCCTATAATATAACCATTAGTAAAGAAAACTACTTTCCTTTTATTATCTACAAATATATTTAAACGTCACATCATGTTTGTTTTGATTTTCAATTGTCGAAATTTGGCAAATACTTGTACTTATTGGTGAAGATTGTATGTTATAGGATATTTATATGAAAAATATTTACATTATTAGAAGTTTGAGAAATGTGTAATTTTAGCAGAAACTCCGCTGACCACCTCGAAAACCAAACTAATGCACAAGGAAGTGATGACGTTATTTTTTGCAACAACTCATGGTTTGTAAGCGAGGTATTGACGAGGAAAAGGGAATGACAAGATTATGCTTCCCTACAAATCAACTATCGGTGAAATCAAATATTGACACAGAGCTAAATTTTCTATAAGTTCTTTAAGCCGAATTTACAAAACTACCCAAAACTCTTGGAGTATACAACATGATTGCTTATCCTTTCCTTTCGCTTTGCATAACAATTCATACTTAAACAACAGAGCGAAAAAAGCAAAGGTTATATTTAAACGAACGCTCATCATCTCATAGCATACATCGAACTTTTCTGTCAAAACAAATGTCTGTAGCAAAAGTTCTAGGAAAATGAATTGAACTGTACGCAAAGTTTGAAAAGTCAAAAAATTACCAGAGTGTGAACGGATTGCGCAACACCAAAAATATATTTCCCAATAATAAGCAACAAAGATTTTTGTGTATCCGCGGTCCAAAACAGTCAAATGAGAAAACATTTATATGAGTGTTCATATTTTCGTTACCAAAAATATGGCAATATTATTTTTACTTTTGGATATACTGTTGAATACACCCTGTTTGTGCTAAAGAATTCTTTTTAAAGCAGGTCCCTTGCAATTAAGTGTGAGAAATAATTCCTTATGCGCAGTATCAAATTTGTCTAATATCATTTATTGTTTTAGAGCTTTAATAATCAAGGTTAGTAAAACTTTCAGCAGTTATCCGCTGAACTTTATTTTCCTGAAGTAGAAATTTGATATTGCAAACACGTGCTTGTGAGAAACAGAAGCATCGACGATCTTCGGAAGATTAAGTTAAAAAAATAAGAAAGCTTAGTTTTCTAATATGCACAGTTTGTATCAGCAGATTTTATCTATTTGAAGTAATAAACTATTCTTATTTTCAGTTTTTTACTCTACCGAAATGGATGTTCCAGCAGATAAGAATTGTGAAGTAGATTCTTGCAATGATTCTGATGATGGAAGGAAAGACTCTGAGAACGCGAAAATGATGTATGAACGGTATACTTAATTATGTATATATAGAGGAATTACAATTTATATGTATCGTAACGATACTTAGTATTTCGGTTTTTTTTTTTTTTTTTGTTGGAGAAGTGCTAGTTTTATCTCGTAAGATTTATCAAAACTCATTTAATAATTATTTTTATTATAGAGATTTGGTAGCAAAAATTCTCAGATATAAAAAAGTGCGGTTTGTATTATATTCAAAATTATAACTATTCATATTTTAGACCATTTGGATGCATGGGTGCTTTATTTCGGCGTCAGTTCTTACAAGAAATGGTAAAAAATTTACCGGCACCGATACAAAATAGGGTAGTTGCACTTAAAAATATACAACTTGAACATCTTAAACTGGAAGCTGAGTTCTTTGAAGAAGTTTATAAACTAGAACGAAAATACCAGGAAAAGTATCAGCCACTATTTGACAGAAGGAAAGACATTGTCACAGGTCAAGTAGAGCCTTCAAAACAAAATCCCCAATGGAAATCTGATGATTTGGAGGATTCTGAAACATCACCTGAATTCCAAGATATGATTAAGTAAGAGCATATGCGCTTCATAAATTAAAAGCGCCAGCTTAACTTTATTTATTTTAGAAAAATAAGGGAAATACCCGAGGATACGAAAGGAATTCCAAACTTCTGGTATACAATATTTCGTAATACTGAGTTATTGGGTGATATGGTTCAAGAACATGATGAACCTGTTCTAAAGAAACTAACGGATATCAAAATTAAATATGATGATGAGGTAGATCAAACAGAATATATTATTTAAGCTTTAACGAATTGACTGTATTTTTAGCACTCTTATACCTTGGAATTTTATTTTGATAAAAATGAGTACTTCTCAAATGAAGTTCTTACTAAACAATATTTTTTAAAAGCTATGGTCGATGAAGACAATCCATTTGGTTTTGAAGGACCAGAAATTTATAAGTGCAAGGTCTGTATCTGTTTATTGTTATTATTACACATATTGACGGACTATTTTTAGGGTTGTAATATCAACTGGGAAAAGAAAATGAATCTTACCATAAAAACAATCAGAAAAAAACAAAAACATAAGGAGCGCGGAACAGTCCGTAATATAGTTAAGCAAGTACCCAATGACTCATTTTTCAATTTCTTCAACCCACCCGATGTTCCAGAAGATAAAGATGAAATGGATGAAGAAACTCAAGGGGTATGTTTTAATATAGAAAGCCCTTAACTAATGTATATTTTATTAAAAAATTTGGTCGCATAGATTTTGGCAACAGACTTTGAAATAGGCCACTTTTTAAGAGCTAGAATCATTCCAAAGGCCATTCTTTATTACACCGGAGATATTATTGACGACGAAGATGACGATGATGGCGAGTATGATGATGATGGTGAAGATGACGATGAAGATGAGTCGGATGACGAAACGGTTGAAAAGGAAAAACGTATAAAATCAATAGATGATTGTAAAAACCAATAGCATTACGTTGGCAGCTACTAACATTAAATTACTCAAATTCAAAATTGATTTTTTGTAAGAATTTTGTAAATGAAGCTCTAAGCGCAGTTATGATTTAAAAAATTTATTTAGGCTACTTAATTCTCAATAACGGATACGATAATGAATTTTATAGGTGGCCAAATTAGCGTTGCTTTCTTACGAAAAGTTTACGTAGCAATAATGTGTAAGCTACTGCATTAATACATTAATGAAATATTTTCAAAATTTTTGAGTTAATAATAAAAAAAAACCATCTCGGGGTTAAAACCTTGCTAGATTTATTTATCGTGCATTTATTTTTCCAAATTTTTAATATTAGAGAGACGATTGTAACTGGTGTATTTAATTCTAATCTCCAATTTATTTTATCTAGAAATATATAATGTAGCGGTTGAACACTCAAATAATTTTGAGAAATGATTCCGAATTGACTTCTTGGCCGAATAAAACTTCGGATCCCTTCCAGTTACGTAGACCCAACTTTCAGGGGGCGAATGGGAAATATATAAGGTTTCTTTGATCCAACAACTGCTGTATTTGATTTCCTTAAATCGTTCCTTTTTTCCATACAACAAAATGTTTGTAGAAATAAGGTTCTTAAACAATTAACAAAGTTGGAAATTTTAACATTACACATAAAGGTAATCTTTATTTCGAATAATATACACATGTAATTATTGATATGACCCTAGCATATCCTTATTGTAAGCTTGGATGTATGCCTCATGTAATTTTTGAACGAAGTCAGTGTCATTTTGAATTAAGAAGTTGAACGCTTGTATTAATTGGGACTGGGTAAGAGCTTCTTTCTTGGGCGAACTTTTGCCTACATCTGATGGTTTGTCAAACATAGTGGGTAGCAACAAAGCTGGCTTTGTCGTCTTTGGAGGTTCTTTAACAAGAAGCTGACGAAGACGTTCTTCTTCTGTAACTACTAAAGGAACACAAGAGCTTTGTAGCCTTCCAGTCGGCTGACATAATTTTGTGGATGTGTTACATGTACTTTCTATTCCAGAGAGAAAATCCAAATTCACTGCTGGGGTGCATTGATTGTTCGATTTATATTCTGTCATATCATTTTTGCAGTTAATATCAGACGACTGGGTGTCACCTCTAGGCGTTTTTGCGCGTTGTTGTTTTTCCAATTGCTCAACTGACAAAGAATTTGGTATAGTGCGATGCATAAAAGGCACTTCCGTAGACCGAGGCTTTGCAGCAGCAAAAAATTGTAGCACGTTACAAGAAGCAATTTTTTGTTGTGTGTTGTATTCCTGCTGAGCTTTCGAGAGCATTTTGAATATATTCACATTTTCATCTTTCACTTGGCTTTTTTCATCACTTTCATTTGAAAAAACTCGTACATCAACTTTTTGTACTAAATTACCGACTATAGTGCCGATACGATCGCACTCTTCACTATTATAAAACCAAAAACCTCTGATCCGTGAACGTTCATTGCGATACAGTAAAAAAGGCGGCTGAGATTGAAGTTCCAGCTGGCTTGTGATCGGCTCCACAAAGGAGGTGGTATTAATACGGTTATTTATAAAAATACTGTGAAACGGTTGCGCATTTCTGCTGTATATAAAAAAAGCTCCTTCAACATCAGTCTTCTCCCACTCGTTATGGTCCGCATTAAAAGTGTAAAATGCAACATGCGATGAAGTATCAACAATATCTTTTGCGTACGGATCGACTTTCTTAATAGCCGCTAAGTTCATGCGCGCTTTACTACTTTCATCGAGACTCATTTTCGTTACTCTTGAATTTCAATAACACGTAAATACCACAGTATATTAATAATTTTACGTCAACAAAGTCAGCATTCAACAAGGTGTTCTATATAACAAATTTAATTGAAAAGAAGTGTTCGGAAAGTATTGTAAAACACAGGGTGCTCCAGAATAATCTTACAGCGGAAATTCTGAAAAATGTGGCTGTCGCAAAGATTATTTAATGTTTCTCGTTAATGTATATGTTTTTTAAAATTAATTTTGAAAAGAGTATATATAGTTGCCATAAGCATACTACTCAATCGTGAATGACATACTAAGAGATTACAACAAGTTTTAAGGTTTTTTTTTGTGTTTGCCCGTGCCATATATGACGTCATAAAGGGAAAAAAAGCGAACAAAACAATCAAAGGAAGAAAGCAGTGGATATGTATTGTATTTTTTAAAAATTATATGTAAAAGATTTATAATTTTTTAAATTGAAGTGGATAGTAACGTGTTTGAAATCATTTTAGCGCAAATTAAAACATTGAATTAATTTTTTTCACTTTTCCATCAAATGTACAAGTTGCCACAATATGGGTAGCTTTTTGTAGGCGGAATGAAAAATTTAGCCATTATTATCATCTTTTTTGCTGATTGAACATCTATTTGGATCGCAATAATAAATTGTTTTAATTATTCACTTAATTTGCATATAGGTTGACGATAAATAAAAAATATTTATTAAATGTGTTTTCTGCACGTTTTTCTATAATTTCCCATAAATAAATTAGAGCTATTATTAAAATATAAACACAAGTAGGTATATTTGTTTACAACAGAAAAACTATTCCAGGAATGATCGCAATCACATCACATCGTTTAATTATCCGCTTAATTGGCAAAGATATTGACAACAGATAATAGTATTTATTAAAAATGTTTTCAAATAGCTTCCCGAAAAAAGTGTTAAATTAAATTTATTTCACGAGTTTCCGTTTTTGTATACAAATTATATGCATATTTAAGGGGGTTTTTTACGAGGCCTCTTCATATTCTCCAATTTCTTACGTAATCGTTTTTGGCAAGAAATTTAAAAGAACTAAAAATTAATAAAGTCGGTGAGCATTACAGTACTAAAAATGCATACAGACACCAAGTATATGTCCTGATGGAGACAAAGTCCTTTTTTCCCTTCTCTGGGAAAAAATGTATATTTTATTTTATTTAAATTTAAAATACTGAAATTGCGGGCAGTGTCATATTATAATAAAAAATGTAGTGCTCTGCAAAAAGGTGTTATTGGTTATTTTCACAAAAACATTCCACGTCTAGAATATCGTGTTTTCAAAGTTGTAGGTCTAAGGCTTAATGCAAAAGGTAAAAACTCCATTTTACAAACTCGTACATGGGAAAAGTAACATGATTTAGGAGCCTGTTTACGTTGGAATATTCTTTGTAGAACAAAAATTGAAATTAAAGGGCGTCAACAAAAAAAAAATCAACTTGGGAACAGACACAGACACCTAACTTCCATACAAACATGTATGTTTGTAGCCTGAATAACGTTTTTGTTCTTAGTAAATCAGCAATTTTTAAATTATATTCTATAAAGCGACATTGATTTCTTTTTATTCTACTATGAAAAGAAACTTTACCTTTTTTGTTCAATTATGACAACATTTATTTGCAAGAACACTGCTTTTTATTTTTAGTTCTAATATTTAAAGTAATATATAGTATGCTTAGAATGCAGACGAAAATTGGATAATTTTACTAACAAAAATGTTAAATTACAGAATAAAATATATAATTTAACTTTAACATTTTTAAAGGCATCATTGAACACTAATCTAACATTGATCAAACATACACATTTATATGTTTTAGTTTTTGCAGCTGTCTCACATTTATTTAAACGATATATTCTATGTGCACCTAAAATTTTAAATGGTCCAATACAGTCTATTATAAAAGCTGTTTTGCATGAGTAGAAATACAGAGTATTAAATTAATTGGTTCAGAGTGCTGAAAGAGGCGGAAGTCTTGTCGATTTCATCAAAATTTTTTTTTATCTTGTTACTATTCCAACTGTCTTCATCTAGAAAAGGCATATTTTCGTGTGTAGCATACATGTACCACAAGAGTTTTTTTAAATCACATTTTGGTGGCACGCATCTGTTTTGCATGACAGTTAAAATATTTTCGAAAGAGTTTGATAAGAGACATCGTCGGATCCTGTTGTCCAAATCGATAAGCATCCTAAGTTATTAAAAGAAAAAGGGAACTTTTTATTTATTAATTGAAAATCAATATATGAAGGAAATCATTGATATTAGGGTTATGTATACCGTACAAAATGAAGAAAAAAGTATATTATTTTCGATTTACTTTACTCTTCTATAATAGATATTATCTTTGGAAGTCTTCGACCTACCAAATGGTGTTAATACACCACAGCGGTTTTCGATATTCATAGAATATGTGTAAAATGTTATAATTAACAGTAAAACCTACCAATGTTGGTCATATTATTTATATTTTTGTACAATATATAAAAAATTTTCGGACACAATTTTTAGACTTTCCCGTACCCTATAGTACTTATTGCATATACATACATTTAAATAATCCATTATTTGAGGATAGTCATCTTTTTTTGTTAAAATTTACAAAAAAACTTCTGAACATGGAAAATGCACACAAAATATTTACGCAATGGTATTATAAGCAACGACTATATTTTATTACATAACTGTACATACACACATATATACAAATGCCATATATGAGAAATAACCATTAAAATGTGTCACTATTTTAAAGTTTACTAATTTACCTTACGTATATATTGTCCAGATTCGTGTTTTTAAAGTCAGCTTTGTAGAGAAAAAACATTAATATTAATTTGTAGGTGCATGCACTCAAGAACAAAAAAAAATTTACAGACAAATTTTTTCTCAGCATTTCTTAAGATATAAAATTAATTAAATATTTAAAAGTCCATTTTGTCGCTTCTTTTTATTAAGTGTCCACCACCAATGCTATCTAAAGTTCTCTTTGGATGGGAGTCGAATTTTTCATAGTTCACTCTGTCAATATTTCTAAGTCGAAGAAACACAGCCAGTGCTTTTTTTGAAATACTTAAGTAATTACGGCAATTGTATTGCGTATAGTTATCTTCGTCTGGTATTGTCAAAAGTAGATAAATTAGTTGCCCAAATAAATTGTAGTTGTCTGTTCGATAGTCGTGGTCGTTGCACAGTTCATCTAAGAGGTGAAGAAAACTTTCTATTAAAATGAAATAAATAGAATTCATAAAATGCAATGACACTTTAAATGAATTTTTGAATTAAAATTAATTATAAAAAAATGTATAAAATAACTCGTTAATAAGGATGATCTTTGCTTCAAGATTACTTAGTTGTTAGTACACTTTATCCAATTACCTTTCAAACCCGGGTAATTATCATTATACGTTGATGAGACCTATAACAAAAATAATGGGCTATTAAAACGGTTACAATTCACTGAATAATTTTTTTTGTTGCAAATTATCAATGCTCTTTATTTAACTATATAATATCTTAAGAAACAACTAATATACATATGTATATACGCCACTAATTTTAAGAGCGAACTTAAATTAAAAACTTGACTAATAAGAACTAAAAACAATTTTTTGAGGATAGTTATTCTATTCGCTTTATTAAATTTTATTTAAATTTATTACTTACTTTTGATGGCATAGCCATTGTAGCTACAACACAGACGACTAAAGATAGTAAAGAAATAATTTTCATTGTTGTAACAAATAAAATATTTATTGTTACGAAGTATTAGTCCCAACTCTTCTTACTTTTCAACTTTAACTGCCTGTTAGCTGCATTCTTCTGTCTTATTTATACCGGAATATTCTTTTCTAAATAAAGGGTGCTGTCCAATAAATTTGTAAGAATAAAGAGTCATAGATGAGATATTCAGGGGGTTACCTATTTGGTACTTTATGACCTTCCATGACATTCAATATCGTCTCACGCGACATATTTTTTTAATTTATGACAAGATTGTTGATATATTTAAAGACGTGTTTTAATGTAAAAATATTCCAATCATGTTTCACTTCTTTTTGTTACATAGTTTTCGAGTTTATTATTTATTTAAAAAATGTTTTTTGCAAAGTTCTTTCAAGTAACATAATATCTTTTTCTAACATTTTTTTAGCTAGCGGATCTGATTATTTACCCTGTATTATTAACTTGTATTTACATATCTATTGCTATGGTAACCGATGACTTGAAGCTAAGTTCTTTTTGTTGAATTCATATGTACACGCTCTTATGATAACAGTATGCAGTTATAATACCACAAATTATACAACCATATGCTAAATAACTAAATATAAAATATATTTCAGTTTCATCAAATATACGTAAAAATGCATTTATATGTAACTATGTACACAAATATATAACTTAAAATCTAAATTATATTGAGTAAAAAACATATGATAAATTTCTTCACGCATACATATATAAAAAAATACATTTATAAATAAATTTATTAACCATAGCTTAATAGAATTTAATGCAAGTAAAATTAAATCTATCTTCATATTATGGAATGTTCACAAGACATCTGTATTCTATTTCATGAGTTGAACCTGAGTTTTGGTCAAAATAGTGGTCAAACCTGGTTTATATAAACAGTACCCACCAAGTCAGATAAATTGAAAGAATTTAATTGGATGATCATTAACCTTATGAGTAACCCAAGAGTACCCAAGAGTTTCAGGTTGTTTTGTCAAGTCGGCCTTAGGACCTTAATAAGATATAGGAACTTTAACATAAATATATGGTAGTGATCTCTGATTTAATAGATGGCTTGCTGGATAGTTTGGTTTTTTTATTCGGATCAGCTAGTAAACTTTGAAAACGTACAAACAAACCGGTTGTATTTATTCCATATCACACAATTATGAAAATTATACAAGGTTCAAAAATGTATCCAATAGATGGCGCTGAATACACATTTACGAATTGAGTTCATATTTGGTTCCCAAATTCATAAAATTAATTAAATTATGTTTACTGTATGTTCAAATCACAAATTTTTATTATATGGGATTTAAAGACTTACGGACTAATAAAAGAGTATAATTCCATAAGGGCACTGTTTTTAAAGTGGAAGGAAACTTACCTGCAATGTCAAAATTATTGATTACATGATTCTCCGGAATAAAACATCAAGACTTTCAAATAAAATGCGGAGACTTATTTGAATTAAAGCAAGACTATAAAATAAGCCCCAGGTGTAGTGCCATTGCGTCTAGCCTTTGCAATATCTATCAATTAAATTGTGGGGAATAAACTTGAAAATATTGTGCTTAAAGGCAAAACCAGAGAATAAAAAAATAGTTTACGTTCTCTGGTAAAAGAATTAGAAAGTAAAGGTTCGACAGCGAATTAAATTAAAATTAATTAAATTAAAATTTAAACCGTGACTCTCGTGCCTCGATGTTATGTGTTTTAAAAGTCATATAGGGACTTCACTGGAAGCTGGATGCCAGCTGGGTCTATAAAACAAAAGCAGGCACCGTACTTGGCCAGTGCTTAAATGACTCTCGCTCCTCGATGTGATGTAATTTAAAAGTCACGAGGTAACCTCACGGCAATCTGGCTACCAACTGGCTCTATAAAAGAAAAGCAGACACTGTACTCGGCCAGTGCTTAGGTGACTCTCGCGCATCGATGTGATATGATTTAAAAGTCACGAGGTAACCTCACGGGAAGCTGTCTGTATATAAGTAAAGAA